TTATAAAATACTGACTAAATTGTTCATTTATATTATAATAATTAAGCCTCGATCCTACATCTAGTGTGTTTGCCAAATATTTTGTAATAAGTAGTATTGGTTTTTAATATTTTTATGATTGAACAAAAGTGATGTAAATAATAGTAATAATAATGTGTGTAGTTCTTGTCCATGTCAACCGAATTATCATCCGTATTACCAAAGTAACCCTTAATAAACAATAATAAATAAATTGGCAAAAAACGTAGATATTACGGCCTTTCATCACAGCCTTACACACATGTGTAACCGAACTCTGCCCAGAATCGTTTATCGTTAGCAATGACCGACCGTTGCATACGGGTATACATCGAAACATCGGATTCAAAGGACAGAAATGATTCGATGACAAAAATAGATAAAATAATACAATTATATGATGAATCATTATTAGGTAAAATATGTACGGTTAATTTGATCAAAACCGATTAATGCCTTGCGAATGTTATGATGGTATTACTATCATTTCTAGATATTATGAAATAATATTACTACGCTTACGCATATGCAACGGATCGTTACAATTATTGTGTCGACAAATTTGTTTCATTTTTTTTTTTTTTTTTTTTTTTTTTTTTTTTTTTTGTCATTAATACACTGCGATCTTAATTTAAACATGTATAAGTCTGGTGATTAATGTTTACGTTAATTTTTTCAACTAAACTAGTCGAATCGCCACTTTCCTGTTACTCGACGTTTTTGAGGCCCCGACAGTACAACAGGGCAACACGGGTCCCTCCTGACCTTATACTTTGAAAGAAAACCATTTTCACCTGCAGAAATACTGTTTTTTATGAAAATTAAACAGCAATACATTTATTTAATCTTCACCATTCTGCATGATTCGTTTATTAATAACAAATGATAATATTATATTATAGTTTCGCTGTTTTTAATACATCGGTCATTTTTTCGAAAGGATTTCTATAACAACACATTTTCACGATTGTCCGAGCCACCATTTACTCGTATCAGTGGCGTACATTGGGTGGTGCAAATGTAGCAGCTGCACCACAATATTTGAAATGTGGTGATGCAAGTTTATATTTTCACACCACCAGAAAATCATAAAAATGTGTACACCTATAGTTTCTATTTTCAAAAGTCTATATTTTTTTACTAAACAAGTACCTATCTATAGTTTTTACTATTAAAACAATTCAATACTTATAATATATTAATTTCATAAAAGCAAATTTGGTACCTACAGAAGAATTAATTGTTTATTGGACAGTAATTTACCAAGGAAGTTGGAGTATTGGTAGGTTAAAAATTAAAATATTTCTCTACACCACCAGAAATTTAGGACAATTTACGCCACTGACTTTTATATAAGATATACGCGGAAGATTTTTTTTTTTTGTTTTTGTTTTTATTCTGCAGCTAAGGTTCAATACATCAATATTATCCATAATACAGCGAAAAACACTCGATAGCTACCACAATAAGTAGACATTAGTGTTCAGAGAACAAAGTCGAAATTTACAACGGGAAAAGTAATGTTGTAAAATAAAGATTGATTATAATGAATCCGACGTCATATTGTGATCATAAGATACGGCGCAAAATGGACGATTCGTATCGATATTTCATATGAAATTGCTTGGTTTTGACTTACTCAATGATATTATACATGACTCGTTACCGTGTCGGTCTTTCAACCGTGCCTTTGACGACCTATTTGAACATGCACTTTGATAATTGGCTATTTTGCCCATCACGTAAATAATTTCTACGAACTCCTATACGACGGTTGAATAAAATATACACTTTTTTGCACGTAACGCCGAAACAGTAATCCTATTGTATTATTAATTTGTTCTAAATACTTAGCTGGAAACTTAATTTTTGTCTCTTTAAAAACATGTTAAAACAGTTAATTTACTTGTTCAACATTATAGATTTTTAATTGTATTAATAAATAGGTGTAAAATGTATTATTTGTGTTATATATTTAATGTTTATATGTGTTTAAGTTTATTATGTTTATCCGTCATGAAGTTGTGTAATTTTTTCAAAGAATTTTTATTGAAAACCTTCTAAAGTTACATACATATGTTTAGTTTAAAAATAGTCAAGGCGTTATATTTTAATTTACAACAGGGCCAAATAACAAGACATCTATCGGAGAGGGACCATTGTTTAGTGGTAATTAGTAAACATTTTATACCGAACATTATAAAAATATTATGCACATTGCAAAATAGATTTCAATCCAACTCGGCGTTTTGAAATGGAGTATTGTAGTACTCCCCTTGCATAAATAGAATAAAAAGGATTCTCAAAAGAGCCAACTATAATTTGATATATATTATGAATATAATATTTAATTAAAAACGAAATATTAATTCGAATTTGCACAATATTGACCTGAAAAAAATGTTTTTGTTGACGTATTTTTGTTTTATTAAATAAATTCTTGCTCATACCTACCTAATTATCTGTCAAACGGATAGTTCAGTTAAAGTTAAAAATCGAAAGATAAAAAAACAACAAGAGTAATAAGATAAGATAAATAGAAGATATTGCATAAATCTTATTTTATTTATTCTTTAAAAGTGTAGTGAAAAGTTATTTTAGAATACACAATTCGTTAAAAGGTCGCATGTGGCTTGTTGGATTAGCTAATCTAAACATAGATAGGAAACCCTTCCCTACCCTAAGATAAAAAGTTTTTCCAATATTAATGATATGTATATCAAATTAATTCAAAACGATTATCTTGAATCTCAGTACAAATATAAAATGTCTACTTGTTCTGCAGTCCAACAAATTGGTCCATATTGTATTGTTCATAAAACACATGAGGTATTTGTGTAGAATTTTATTTTGTTAATATTTAAATAATTTTATTGTAATGTTCAAGACCAACCAGCCTCGACTGGCCAATCAGCATCTATACATCTATGATCTCTACTAACGTGTGTTATCAGTGCATATCTGTAAATCTCTGGTTATCGTGATATTTGTACAGTTCAATTGGTATACAAGTAAGTAAGTATACATTTTTATCTTAAATTATATGCAGGCTACAAGTACGTGATCAAAAACTTGGTGGCAATTTATAGTAGGTGTATTAAATATTTAAATTTAGTTATAATAAACAATCATATGCGACAATATACAATAATTATTTAAAAATAAATAGTCAAAACATTCCTCCAATCCAGACAAAACAAAATATAAACCTCATGATTAAATCGTTTTGTTGGACACCTCATGAGGCGCCGTGAAAGACTTATAAGACGGCGTGCGCCTCATTTTCAAACCAGTAATTTTATTCAATTCCTTCACTCACTCTGCTGCACCTAAACTACCCATTATCTGCACTACAGTAGGTGCAGAAACTAAAGCGGGCCTCAGTACAATGGCAATTCCAAAACTTTTCAAAAAAATAATAATAATAATAAATTACAAATTATACGTTTATTATGGTATTATATATTAAACATACATTTATACTATTTATTAGCATAAATATATTTTTTCCCTTAAAAGAAAATGTACATTTTATTTAGTGCCTATATAAAATTATAATACGTAAAATATATAATAAAAAAAAAATGGTTACTTTATTTGGTACTTTTCTAAAAAATATACATATACATATTACATGCATTACTTATTTTAAGTATTATATTATACCACACACAAATATACATCACACAACATTAATTTTATATTACTTATATCTCATTTTATACTATTATTAATAAAAAAAATTATTATCATATATTTATTATGTTATTAACACACAGGATCATACACAGGATGATCAATATAGTTTTTTTTCATAATTGAGCAAAACCGAGGAAAGAAATTTATAAAAAATAATGGTTTATTATTATCGATTTTGTTTTTTTTTTTGTTGTTGTAATTCGGTTTAAAATGTTCAAAGAGACTTGAAATTTAGACAGAAAATATGGGTATATTTGCGTTTTCTAGACGTGGTCAAATTTTACAGAATCGGAAATAAGCTTTGGTTACTTTGTGATGTATTTTATTGGTTCAAAAAAAAAAAATTTAAAAAAAAAGTACATTTCGGTTGAATGAATAGTTCATTTGTTACAAAAATTCCCATTTTAACTCCTATATTATATACTATAATATATAAGTAATCATATAGATTTTTACCTTCATTTAAAATAAAATACTAAAACATTAAGGTTCATTAAAATATATCTAATTGTTGATAACAGGTACGATGAGTCGTCGGATAGAGTATAAATTTAAAAAATAAAGTATAAATACTTACTATAGAGTATACATTTTATTACATTGATTTATTTTTTATATTATTATTATTATTATTAACATAACTGTACCAATATGACGTTAAATTATTAATAGGTAATATTTTTTAAAAAAAATGTATGTAATTAACTAAATAACCTATTATATTATATGTGTATTGTATGTGCATTGTGTTAATTGTGTAAATAATTCAAAATGTGTTCATATTAGTAAAGTAACTTTATTATCATATAGCAAATCATACGCTATTTTTTAACATTGTACACATAATAATTAATAACATTTCAGCAACATGTTCAGTTTTACCAAATTGTGCGCATCGTCTGATAAAAAACGAAACAGTGAAAATTGTCAAACTTCACCATTGTTATTTTTTTTTGGTAATCAACGTAATATACCTAGTACGCAATTTTTGACCACAGTTATTTAACCACATACCTTACTAAATATTACTGGTATTTGGTGGTTACCGTTAATGGACACTAAACTTACCATTTTCATTACGTATATGGTTTAAAATTAAAATTATTCCCGATTCTGTGTGGTTTGGCTCGTTATTTTGGTGTAGTCGTCTAAAAAGCGATTTAAACCAATTTACGAACCGCTGATTTTCTTGAACGGTTATAATAACGGCGATAATAATATTGTGGTGATTTTGCTGTGAACAGAGCAAATATTGGGTTAAACAAATAAATATATATATACGTATGTACAGTATGTTCTATATTTACGGGTTGGGTTATTTTTTTTCAAACGTAAAGATAGTTGTTTTCCTAGCAGTTATTTGTATTACGTCTTCAATCACTGCGTTATTGGTAGACTGTCCATTTGACGGCAAACCGGATGATCCATCATTCGCGTACAAATCAATTGACCCAGGAATCGAGCAAGATCACATTTTTTATCACGATAAATACCATAAAACCGTCCGTATGTGTGCCAATATAACCACTATTTATAAAAACAAAAAACGTGACGGACTGGATAGTAATCTTAATAAAGTATTTTCGGCACAGTTCAGAGATATGGATAGAGGTCATATTACACCGCATCGTTACGGGGGCACGTATTCGTCGAAAAACATCATAGCACAAAATCCTAGATTAAATAGGGTGACGTGGAATCAATTTGAGAACCAGATAAGCATATTGCTACAGACCTGGCCCTACGTATATTATACAGTAAGATTGATATACGGCGAGTGCGATAATTCTGACGTTTTCTGTTGTCCGGATACATTAAACGGAATTATATATAACGCAGATACGATTTATGATGAAATTAAAGCGTCAAACCCGCGTGGAAGCAAAAGATCGGAAATAAAATATCCGAAATATATTAGTAGTATAAACGAGCGGGAGCTACAATTGAAATCCAACACTTCAGAATTTTATTCGATTGTAGGCGTGAAAAGTGCAACCATACGACCGGAATGCATTGGTAGTGGGATTTGCTTTGGCGTTCACGATAGTACGGCACAGTGTCTTCGATGTTGTGGTACCTTAAGCAGAGAACATCATTGCATTGATATTTATGTGGCCGAAGACTCCAAGTGTTACCAGTGTGTATCCGGACGTCGTGATATTTATTCATTATGACTTTTAGAGTGTAGGTACGTTCATTCGCTTAGGTTTACTATTGTATTATATAAAATAAAATATTGAAGTATTTAGAAAACATATACAAAAAAAAAATTAAATCAATGTATATGTTGTTTTATTACTGTAAAATAAAATTATTGATGATAAAACAAAAAATTTTAAAAATGTGTGCAACTAATGCTCCTCTATTACATATTGTGATTATTACCCAGGTCAATAATAATGTAAATAAAAAATAATGCGTTCGCTGTTAGCATAATATAGCAAATTAAACACATCTTAAGTTGGTACCATTAAACAAGGTGGTATTTCAGCAATATGTTTAGTTTTACCGTAATATGTACATCGTGGGATGAAAACCAAAATTATAGCGCCGACCCAGGGGCAGATTAAGGTTTGTGGTGACCTGTGGGTAAAATGTACTGGGAGGGGGGCCCAAAATTAATAAACAGGTTAATACTTTTTTTTGATTTTCTTCTTATTATGTTTATTTAATAATATAATATAAAAACCAAAAACATTTTAATCGGATAAGTCTTGATACGATGTTAATGAATATGAATATCCTAAACATTAGTGAATGTATGAGACTTCAATTAATTATACAAAATAAATAATGTTAAATAATACGATTCAAATTAAATTCCTGGAACTATTCTTGATTTCATATAACAAAACCTTCATTTAAATTTTTAAAATTAGTTTTTCTTAAAACAACACACTTTGAGCTCATTCTTGTAAGTTGATTAAGTTTGTCTCCGTCCATAGAAATGCGCAATCTATTTTTGATTCATTTTAAATCAGAGAATGATGTTTCACTACTGCAGTGTGTTATCATTAGAACAAGATACATGCAAAGAACTATTTCAACTTTAGGAAAACAATCTTTTATTTCTTTATTAGTTATTATTTCAATATAATTATTTTAAACAATGTTCCTGGCTAAAATCACTAAATTTGCAGGTTTCATTTTTACAAACTTTAAAAAATTATTTAAATAAATAAATAATTACATTAAAAAGAAAATATAAAAAATAATTGAATGTAATAAAATAATTTAAATTCTGTCTCCAAAAGCTATAAACTTGAGGATAGCTAAATTGTTCTTAAATATTGAAATAACCTTAAATTAATTAACTGAAATACAATTCAAATAACAAAACATTAGTCAAAAATAAATAAAACAACATTCGGTGTACAGCAACGCATAATAAACAGATAATTTAAACTAAATAATTTCGTTTCCCGAAATTGTTACCTATGTCGTATTGGTAAATCTTGAAAAGTTTTATTTTCAATTGTTCTAATTTTCGAAGAAAACCAAATGATTGGCTCACCAGTTTACAGGCAGACAGTCTTTTATCCAAGTTAAAAATAAACGTATCTGTAACTGGTAAAAAGTTTTGAATTTTGAATTTTTGAGAAGGTTTTAAATCGACCTCATGCGTTCCATTAAAATCTATTGGGTTGGAATAGATGTTTCTTTATTATTTATGATGTTTTAAATAGTCAGTTGTTTCCAAAAAGTTTATCCTATGTAATTATTTCGTTATTAGTTTTACATTCATTACATTTACGTTTTTTTTTTTTACATAGTTGTACATTTTCCAGTTTTTTTCCCCCATTTATGGGTAAAACTTTTGGGGAAATTAAAAAATAATCTCCCTAAAGTACCTCTCCAGTTTAATTTCCTTGTGCTATTATTATAAATTGGAGCAAAATTGCTGGTAGCAAAGTTGTCCACAAAAAGAAAAATAAACATCATTGTAAAACCAATACAGTTCTAATCAATAACGCATAATTTTACTCATTTAAAACACAGATTCGAATGGAGAATATTTGTCTAAATAATCGAATATGCAAAACACTATTACACTTATATAATAATATACAATAGAATAAAAAATAACAGGGGTTAAAATAGGGGTACAGGTAACAGGTAAACGTTAAAAATATTTCTATTTAAATAAAAAAAAAAGTCATTGGTTTTGATAGTCACTCGTTTCTAATATTTTCAATCGGTTAAAGTTAATATTTAATAATAATCGTATTCCGTAATATTCTCCAAGTTTGACTGATTTTTTTTTTTTTATTAAACGTCATAATGTTTAAAAATATATGTATAAATACTTTATATACTTATACAATATGGCTTATATACACATGGGAGAATATTCCGAATAGTGTTATTAAAGAGCGTTTTAAACGGGCAAAACACCGATATCCAATTTAACACGCGTCTGTACTGTGCATTGCGTATGCCATAAATAATGTAGCGACGACGACGAGGACGATAGGTTTTTATACGTAACAATAATAATTAAAACAATAATAACTTTCGCGCCGGCAATGAATGACGACGGCCGAGAAGAGCGCTCTGGCGGTCCGGCGGAATGACGCGTGCCCTCGTCCGGTCTCCCGAAGCCGGACAAGTGTCTGCGGAAAACTACTCGCGGTGTCACCTCGTGCGTACTGAAGGGTTAATGTTCGCCGCGGTCGGGTCGTCGTCGCGCGAGGAGAAATCGTTTATTTCAAGGTACGTACCTATACAATATAATAATATTTTAATATGTACATACTAACTCATTACACGCCTGCTTACTCGTGTTATAATAATATTTTTGCACAGACGTTTCGACGCGCCGTCGTCGTAAAATCTGAAATTTCCATTTTCTTTTCACTGGCCGTCCCGGCGCGACCCCGATTTTTCGGCGAGAAGTCGGGAAGGAGGGGTGATGCTGTTTTTGTTGCCCGTTTTATAGACGGCGTTTTATTGAAATTATATCGATGTTTCGGGGGTCGGTATAGGATCGTCCAGATCCTATACGAACAGGGTCCGCCCCTAGACCACTGACGATAAACTAGATATAGGTACGCCGCATATAATTGTCATCGTACATCGTGCGTATATTATATGAGTATATTTTATGTAATATACAGATTATACATTTTACGATAATATATAGTACTGTTATAGTCGGCCGATTCGTTCGCGTTGATCGGCGCGAACGCACATGTCCGTCCGCCGTATTTATCCGTCCTTTCAATGGAGTTTTCTTCGAAATATAGTCGTGTACGCATTTTATAATCAATTTTAATAATGGTTTTATCTTTAAAATCTCTTTTAACTATTCAAAATTTGAAGGGTCTTATTGTGCATCAGAAAAAGGGAGACGGCAAATTCTATTGTGATGACACGACATTAACATGACTCGAGTTGACCTATGAAAATTTGTCTTTGTTGTTGCAGTCGTGCCACGTGGTTACACGACGATGACGGCGCGATGTTTAAGTTTATTGGTTTCGGTGCTATTAATTTACTCGTCGTCATTAGCCAAAGACCAGAAAATTAATAAAATCAAAATAGGTAAGGAAATACAGATAATACGTTGCCGAGTAGTTTTTTCTCTCCTTCTTTAGTAAAAATTGTATTGATTTATACAGTGATTTTAAAACAGTAATCATAAAAACATAAAATCTATTGTAGAATATAATAGACAGGGGCGTTATTTGGGGGGGTGTATTCGCACCAACTGTTTTTAGAACATCTTCTTTGTCCTGCCTTTATAAAATATAAGCGCCTATATACCAATGAGTGTTTTATAACATCATATATTGAGTTAGTATTTATGATCACTATGGCAATGTAAGAAAATGGTACCCGACCCCATATAATTAGCAGAGAAGACAGAGGGAGTATGTCTCCAACGGACTGCCCCTTCCAAAAAAAAAGTGGCCATAATATTGGACTGGTAATAATTTTGAATGGCCTGCAAAAACGTTAGCACCAACAATAAAAAAAACTGAAATGACGCCCCTGTGTAAATATAAAAAAGTAAGTACCTAAAACTTGTTTAATATTTACTTATTGTTATTATAAAACTTTTTTTTGACATTTTTATTATAGCGAAGAATGTATTGGTATAACTATGACGTGTGCTCATTTTTTTTTCTGTTTGTAAACATTTTTATACCAAAAATATTGTTCCAATTGAAATACGTCTAGAGACCATTTTTTTTTTATGTATTTTAGATCTAATTAGTGCATTGATAAGGTGATTTTTTGATTTTCCAAGTGGTTTTTATAATAATCGAGAAAACCGTAGAAAAAACAAAAAAGTTGACGGCAATAACGATATCATTCTAATCGCCTCTTCTTTATTAATGCATACATAATATTTTCGATTTGGAAAGGAGTATTAAACTATAATGTGGTTAAAAAAAAAAAAAACCACTTAAAATTAAACACCGCGAAAAACCACCAGTTTGTAAATCTTTGTTTTACTAAAAAAATACCAAAATGTGTTATCCGTTTGCAAAATTGTATAGATAAACCGTAACTAAGTTTGCCGACTTTGGAAAATAAATTATTGCAATATGATCAATAAACCGTTTCAGGACATACACATATAAAATAAATATTAACACTGCGTAGTGGATTTTCGTAAATTAAATAACAAACTGTGCAGATAATTGAAATATTATTAGAACAATATTTATCCAGCTCAGCTTTGTATATAAAAACTCCTAAAACAAATAAAATCATTAAGAATAATAAGTTTTCGTACTCAAACGTTTGGTTGTTTTTTTTTTTTTTTTTTTTTTGTACAGCTTTATCCATAGAAATCTATCAGATAAGTCCGAGATAGTTTTAACAGTCAAGTTGCGATTGAAATACATTTGCCAATATTCTTTTTCCTTTTTATGGCTCGAAAATAAAACAAAAGCACAATAAAATCAACTGTCTAAAATACAACTATTCGAAAATACATCCCGGGTTAAAATAAAAAACTTTTATTGTCCATTTGGTTTTCTAGCTTTTTCAAGGATAGCAATGGAACAGCGAACAGAATAATTTATAGCAAACAATTGTACTACAAAATAAATACCGTAACAATATAATCGTCTATTGCTCCGAAAAATAATGCACAAAATGTAATATTTAAGAGTGTCGGCTTAACCATAGTCACGTGCTTGTATCGTATTTGTATTTGAGAGCCTTTCAGGCCACGCGGTTTATAAAATACCGTAATTTGACTACTGGCTGTCTAATGTGCAGGGATTAAAATAAATTCATAGTATTGTTTAAACTTTAGTTGACTATTGCAGACTGAAGTAAAAAATAATAAAATAAAATCCTTTTTTTTTTTTATTTATAAATAACTATGTGAGCTAGTAAATTTGTACACAAATAAACTGAAAATTTGAATATGTCACTGAAAATCGCTTTGTAAACACAGCTTATGTTATAATATAGTCATGTATATGCCTGCCCGCGTCACCGCAAAATCTTATGTTATTTTTAGAAATATCGCACTGATTTTCATGGCCTTTTATTTTTTTAATCATGGGACCTTTAAAAAAAAAAAAAAAAATGCTCCACGGGTCATTGTAGTGTCAAGCTGCCTCTGATATTTAACATTAGTACTAAAAACTCAAAAATCAAAATATTGTACATTTGACAATTTGGATTGTAATGTGTAATAACATAAATATGATTGATAATATAACAAACAGAAATTAAAAACCTATTATGTTACAATTATCTACTTTAAGTATTGAACTTTTACATTTACAGAATTGTGGTTAATTCAATATAATTTAATAAAATACTCTGTTGGTAAAATTATTAGGTTAAATTATAGGTATAGGTGCCTGCGGGAACAAAAATAATGATTTGATATAAATTAATCATCCTCTAAAGTTTTACATATAATCCTGTAGACCTATAGAACTATGCCCTATGGTGGTGTAGACAAGAATATTATTTATCTAAAACAATGTGAGTAACTACGTTTTTATTTGCTTTGTACGTGTTTACAAAATAATAATAAAAAATTACTTAACTAAACATTGTACAAAGCCTCTCGGAAATATTTTTTAATTAACCTAAACCGTGTACTCTGTAATGCTTTGAGCGATAACGAAATCACGGCGATGCACTCGTAATGAAATTTAACTGACGAATATTATGTGTGCAACAACTTATTACACAACTAATACCAGTATTATATGTAATTTCAAATAACGTATAATATTTATTAAGTTTTCACTCAATTATCAAGAAATACGGGGTTTGACAACTTATTTTACGATTGCTTTCTGAATGTATGACAGTAAAGGGTGTTTATTAAAAAAAAAAAAAAAAGAAGAAGGAGAAAGTAGGGTTCAGACACCGGTAATGGACATTTCAATTTACAACAGGAACTCAACCAATACCCAGTCAGAGAGCTAGAAAACCGTCCGGAAAATTACTCTTAATGCTTCATATCCGATTTCCTATTGCACTGTGAAAACGGCAAATTTGCACCATTTTTCTTTTATTCTATATGCACAACACTTTTAGTTGACCTCGGAAAATGCAAGATAAAGCCGATACCATAGTTTTCCTAACGATTATGGTTATTATTATTACTATCATTATTATCATTATTATTATATTTGTTTTTTAGAGTTACAGCCGGGTGACTTTTAAGTGGTCTATAACTTGTAACTGAAAAAAAACTGCACTAATGATCATATCCTTTTTTTTTTTTTCATAATTGTAAACGCTAAAAAATATTCCAATAAATTTAAAGTTATGATAAAATATTCCATCATTGCCAATCACCAGAGTCGATTGACCGTAATTTTTAACAAAAGGACGTAGAAATATGTATAAGTGAATGCAATAATAATATAACATCTGTATTGTGTATTATAAAAATGTTTACAGTTTGCTGTTTTAGTTGCAGTTTTTTTTTTTTTAATTCGGAGCGTAGCGTGAAATATATTGGTTTTACAATGTTTATTTTTTTTTCGTGAACAACTTTCCTACCACAAATCTTTCTCCGATGTATTAAGCGTAGCCCGATTTTTGAATAAAAATTTTAACTGATTAGTACGTGATAGGTAATTTGTTGATATTCCAAGTGGTTTCCATAATAATTGGAAAAAAAAGAAAAAAAAAACGTTGAAAAAATGGGAAAATATACGAAATGTATTATTTTCAATTTGGTTTTTTGTTATAATTCAGATAAAAATATTCATAGAGACTTAAAATTTAGACTGAAAACTAATATTTTCTTTTTCTAGATGTGATAAAAATTTCAAAATATTTTTGTTATTTTGTTTTGGAGCTATTTATAGACATTTTAAATTTGCGAGTTTTTACGTAATCTTTATTCTGTAGGTGCTCTATGGATACATTTTTAGAAATGCTTGAAAATTTAATAAGAGGTTCATTATAAGTACTACTTTGTGTTAAAAAAAAAATTAAGTATAATGTATAATTTTGTTTTTATAAGATATAAATATAAAAATGAAAATAGTTTTACTAGTTCTTGACGACACGCGTTGGAGGTGATGTTAGTATTATAGTGAAGTATTATTTTTAAATCTCCGATAATAATAATATAGCCACAAAAAAAACTTTTTGTAAAATGCAACAATATACCACAACGTAATATTAATTAGTACCTATTTCTGAATTTTTTTAGTAAAATTATACGTTAGTTTAAGTTATTGTTTATGAATTATAACCATTTAAATTTTATACCTAAAAAGTAGATAGGGTAAAAAATGTCATACCTATTTTTAAATGATAAATTGATAACGCTTTTCCTACTAAATATTAAACATTTATAATTTATAAACGGTACATTTAGTATTAGTGTGATGCATATCAAAACCTCTAGGAAAGAATTCCCTATTTGAATTTGTTTTCAAAAAGGAAATTCCTATTTGAAAAAAAAAAAAGTATTTACTTATTTAAAGTACATGAGGCAGGGGTAAAAATTAAAAATAGTTCCAAAATAAAGTTAACCGATTTCTCAATGATTAAAACGAAAAAGAGCTGATACTGGAGATGGGAGTGGCCAATGTTGTAGGTAAAAAGATAGGAAGGTAGGATACATACAATTATTTCATTTATATCTGCAACGATATAAGCAACGATGAATTATTGCTTGACGAAAGACGATTCCGAGCGCAGTTTGATATTACATATATTTTTTTGCGATTTTTGTTTAAATTTGATTTCAGAACGATTATTTAAAAAAAAAAGTCGGATAATTTTGAAAATTTTACCACGTCTAAGTAAGTCCAATATAAATATTATTACCAAGTTTCAAGTATCTACGTGTATTTATAACCGAATTACAGCAAAAAACTCCCAAAAATTAAAAGTCCTTGAAAACTCGAAAGTTTTAACGGTGATGCCTTAAGAAATTAAATCAAAAGGCAACAAAAAAAGTATATTGTGATTTTTCGATTAAATCATTTTTCCTGGTGGAAAACGTCGTCCGTGTTATTATAAAATAATGAAATCGTGATATTGTAAGTTTTCCTACGTTCTTTCCCACTTAAGTGCTTTTATTTAAAAAATTGAATCAAAAATTAAAACATGACATGTTTAAGGTACAATTAAAACAACTTAAGCTTTCAGAAAAGATGCTACACGTAAAAATCGGAGCAAGTTTACTAGGAAAAACTGTGTTCACAGACTAGAACAAAAAAAGAAGAAAAAAATGAACATATTAGTAAAACCAATATTTTCCTCGTTACGCTCGGAATCTAATTTATTGTTTATTTACATATAATAATAGGTACTGTGTTTTATTTTTTTTTTTTTTTCTTAAACGTGGTCCGTAATTTAATAACCCCCAAAAATTAACGATTTCACTATAAATTACATCATAAGAGTGCCAATCCCGTATAGATCTGAGTTTCAGCCCCCCCCCCTCAAATGTCAAACACTATTCGCACTTATGCTTATGTTTAACCCTATGATTATTATTTTATTTCAACAATTAAAATCAGTTAATCACTAATTATTTTCGAGTTTAAAATCCGTATTTATGTTAACATTGTTAATTTTTCAGGAGCGTTATTCACCTACGACCAAATCAACACCAGCCTCGAAATAGCATTTAAATTCGGAGTCGATCAAATAAATCGCGATAAAAATCTGTTGCCCCAAACCCAAGTATCGTACGACATCCAATACGTACCAAGCGACAACAGTTTTCATACGATCAAAACCGGTGGGTATGACGTGGTGTTCAACAAAAAAATAATTTTCATGATGAAATTGTAGATAATTTTTCAAGTTTTAAAATAATTTTTCTTTCTTCTGGTCATCTTATTGATAAGAGACTTTTTCACTAACCTATTGCCCAATACCTATTTGAGGGAAAGGCGTATACATCTAAGTAATGAAAACGTATTTTATCCTAAGTTAAAGACAAAATACTTATGTAAGTACGTTTTCAAAATTTTTAAAACTACAATCAATTTTGGTTATGATTTTCAGTAGCATAATTAAATTCCTATTTCCAACATATCCTAGTAAAAAACTTAAAGAATTATGGCCTGTTTTTAAAATTCTGATTTTTCAAACACAATTCATAGGTAGTTTTATCTCTGTTAAATACACACCGTCATCAATTGCACTAATATTATAAATACATATTTTCAAAATAGCATGTAACCAACTTGATCATGGCATCGCTGCCCTGTTCGGCCCGACCGACGATTACTTGGCTTCTCACGTACACTCCATGTGCGACAATCTGAACTTGCCGCATATAGAAGCTAGACTTGATTTGGAAACGGATCCCAGAAGGCTATCCATTAACGTGTATCCGGATCAGAGTCTTTTGAACCAGGCTTACAGTGACGTGATATCGTTTTTGAACTGGACTAAAATGGCGATTATTTACGAACATGATTACGGTAATCTATAGTATATAATATTTTTATTATATTTTCCCTGGTATATTGACCAACTATCAGCTTGAACATCGTTAAAAAAGACTTAAAATTGTACATAATTTTACCATTGTTTATACGATCATAATAATATATCAGTAACTGTTTTCGATAAATGCTCATTTATCATATTTGTATTATTGTATTATACAGGATTATTTTTTATCATGAACCAGCAATTATCTCAGAGGATTTTAAGTGAATTTGATTTCTGTTTTTTCCAATCATTATAGAATCGCTTAAGCCCTATTTTAAAACCATTTTTTTAATTTTTTACCCCTACTCCATACACCTTAAATATTTGCATACTTTTGATTTTCAAATATAAACCGCCCCCCTTTTAAACACGAATTTGAATAGAAAATATTTTTCTAGTAAATTTGATATACATAACACTAATATCAGATTTACCATTTATGAGTTATAACAGTTTAAAATTATGGCCGGAGGAGTAGGGAAAGGTTATAGATAGGCATTATGTACACCAAAATTTCCAAAAAAATATTCTTTATTCAAATCTGTGTAAAAAAAGGAGGATTCCTATTTGAAAATCAAACGTATGTACATATTTAAGTTTATTATATTTCATCAGTATCAAAACTCGAAACAAATTATTTTTCATTGTGAAAACAATACTGATCTCATTTCTGACCTACGTATATTACAAATGATATAGGCAACGCGCGTCATTAATGTTCAATAAACAACAGACAATTGACATTAAAGTATATAATGATCGAATGAGTATTTGTTTTTTGTGAATTTCATATGACCTAATACGATTTTTATTAAACTAGAAATCGGGACGCTGTTGCCTTTCGATAGGACTTACGTAAATTATTATTATTATTACTTGTATTTCTTCAACTTTGATATTCATGAAATTACAAGTTTCATAAGTCACGTACGGTATATACATACCCTATAGTTACATTTTTTGTTTTTTTCTGGAGATAATTATCATTTTGACATTATATAGGTGTATAATAAATATTTATATATATTAAAGAAATAGTCAAGTATTTTAGAGCATTGGAAACTATCACAAATATAAAATCAGGCGCTGTTAATATTAATTATTATTTGTTGATTTTAGGCAAAAATTAACAGTATTTATTTTTAAAATATAAACAAATATTGAGTGGTAATTTTTTCTGAAACCTATGTACGATATATTTTAAACAGGATTGATTTTAAAATTTTGAAAGATGGCATTTAAAATAAACTACGTACGTCGTAATTTTTTTTTGTTATAAGAAAATTATAAATGAATCAGCACCGTGAATCATTTATACGTGAATCGTTTCTCTGGCGAACCACCACTGCAGGTCATCGTATTATCTGTCCAATTGTATTATTTGATACATTTAGTACCCGTAGTGCCAACCCCAAATAGTCAAGATGAAATGCGTGTAAAATATTGGTTTGTGCACTTAATGCATTGTTCAGAGATTTTTTTATATATTTTTTTTTTTTTTTGAGAATACACGAAAGACTACTTTAATGATTCTTACAATGACCATCTCTGATATTTTTGTATTATAGTTTTAACACGTAATCCACATTATAATAAAAGTGTTTTTTTTTTTTACGGTACAGGTGAATTATATCAACCCTTATTTTATAAATAAGGGTGTCTAATAAATAAATAAAACCTAATCTAAAAGATCGAAACACGAAAATTTATATAGATTTTATAGTAAAATTAAATGGCACGCGTACTTCTGAGTTTATCAAAAACTGAGACGATTTTCATTATAATATAATTAATATAAGCTTTTTAACAAAAAATAATAACTCAGGCCGAGAATCGACAAACAAACAACAAATTCAAAAATATAATGTCCTACAGTAACTTCTTTTTGTCTGAAAAACCTATTTGTACGAAATAACTTATATATTGAAGATATTATAGATATTATATGAATTGTTCATCATACTTTACTACGCGAATTTGCATTGTTGTAAAACAATATAAAACGCTTGTACGGACGAAAAGGAGGCACAACAACTGCGTAAATAATAATGCGTAACATTATTATCGTTGGTTATTGTTTGTTCTCAGATTTGTATAGAATGAAAGATTTCATGAAAACAGTACCGGACAGAAAAACGGTAGACGTGTATTTAAGATACGCCACCCCCGAAACATACAGATCAGTGCTGAGCGAAATCAAAAACATGGAGATTTATAACATGTTGGTCGATACGAAATCGGAACATGTAAATCATTTCCTGAGAGGCGTAAGTTAAACCGTATATCATTTATCATTCGCGCGTTTTCATTGGTCTTACGTGTGTTTTGTTTTGTTTCGCGTAGATATTGCAGCTGCAAATGAACGATTACAAGTTTCATTATCTTTTTACGTCATTCGTGAGTACCTACCGAGTTCTACCGATAAATTAAACGCGTTTCATATAAATAACTTACGCTGATGTACCGTCACTTTCGTCGCCGTATTCTACGAATCCGATTATACAGAGAAATTTTTTTTTAACACGAACCAGCAATTTTCTCGGAGGATTTTAAGTGAATTCGATTTCTGTTATTTTATAATTTTGGAATCGTTTGAGCTTTATTTTAATCACAGATACACATAGATAATATTTGTCTAGACATTTAAACATGCATATCACAAATATCAGATTTACCGTTTGTGAGTTATAACAGAGAAAAGTTTAAACCAGAGAAGTAGGAAGAAGTTACCAATATATCATTTAAAAATAAATAAATAGATATTTATTATTATATATCCCTACTCTTTCGCTCTAAACTTTAAATTTGTATAACTTAGAAAAAGTAAATCTAATATTAGTGGTATGCATATTAAAATATCTAGAAAAACATTATCTATACTAAAATATTTTCAAAAAGAGAGACCCTATTTGATAATCAAAAGTATATACTTAGGTACTTATTTAAAGTACATGGAGTACGGGTCAAAAATTAAAAATGGTTTTAAAAGCTTAAACGATTTCACAATGATAAAAAAATAAAAAACAGAATTGAATTCGTTTAAAATCCTCCGAAAAAATGACTGGTTCATGATAAAAGAATCATCCTGTATAAATAATAATTATCCATATACCACCATTGAAAAATAAAATAATTTATGCTAGGTTAAAGTTAAAATTGTCCCAAAAATGAAAAAAAAAAACACGAAAATATATAAAATTGTTTTACATAAACCACATTTACAAATTCTAAATTATGTACATAGGTATCTATGGATACCTATCCATAGTTCAATATGTCTTAGGAATTTAGTCCATGTAATTTTTTTTTTTTTCAAAAGTGAATTATCATTCAACTCTTAAACAGATGACCAGTATTTAAATAAATTATAAATGTAGTATTATAACTTTACTGTAATATTGTATGTGCTCGTATGTTTACGCGTTCATTTTTCTGACTTATTAATCTTGTTTGACTTACCTGACTAATATTTCATATGATACTGTTATCATAGTCCTACACTAATAGACGAGCTATACACGCTTATACCACGGTCAAACATAGAGAGCGATTTTTAATGACTGAGGGACCCGTGTACGATAGTAAAATCACCGTGTTCTTATCGTGTTATTTTGTGTGTAATAAATTATCATACGCCTTTTAAGTTATAAATTAATGTCAATTTTATTAATTATTAACAATAATATCTTAAATTATTTTTAATGATATAAATGGATTACAATTTGTGTGGTTTGTTCCAGTAATCGGAACTAATCAACATGTTAGAAGTTATACGTGTATGTTAATTATACATAATATCAAAAATGTAAATACATTAGAAATAAAAATAAATCACAAGTCTGAACACATAAAAATACAATATTTTTTTATAAAATAATAATTTTACGGAGAGATGCACATAACGTCTCGTGTTTGACCGCAGCTAGTACGCTATGTACGTGAGGCTCGTTTATTACTACAAGGACTTTAATTATTTTGTACGACGTATATTGAAAGTATATGACGCTTAATTGCCGTAATCGTTAACGCCGTGTAACCGTAACGCAATAATTACGCTAATAAAAAATGGTTTCAGGACATGGAAATGTTCGACTTGGAAGATTTCAAATATAATTTCGTAAACTTGACTACGTTTAGAATGGTAGACATTGAAGATGTCGGCGTCCGAGAGGTACTCAAACACATGGAAAAATATTCGAGCGAAAAAAATCAGTCAATCAATAAATTTATGTTAACACAGGTTGGTCGATAATATTTAAATATGAAGAGTAGGCCACTCGATATATACTAAATGCTGTACTAAACTATACATTTTAATAATATACCTATACTATATATATATATCGTTGTTTTGAATTCTAAGCAGAGCGAAGAGCCCATTTGGTTTTAAAACGATACGCTGTCAGTTTTATTTTATTTTTATTTTCGGGAAAACAATATTTTTAGGACTGTGCAATTATTCAAAAACTTTCATCAAACAACTTTTTAGACAGATACAGTTGAACGCGTAAGAAACTTAAGAATGGAAATTGTTCGCGTGATGCCCAAAAAAAAACTGACAAAGAAATTCAAACGAGCGTACAAATTTCAATTCTAAGCTTTTCATCTCAATATCGTTTTCGAACACAATAACTTATAGTTTATGACTACTTTTAATATTCAAAAAAAAGACCAGTGGCCATTTTTTTTTTTTTTTTTTTTTTTTTTTTTTATATAGTATTTAGATTATGTCAGATATCTTTTTGAATATCTAATAAATAGTTAACAATTTTGTTCTCAGTGCGAGCCGGCCCTTATGTACGATTCCGTGCAGGTATTAGCAGTTGGATTGGGTGCACTCCAGCAGAACGAAAGCATAATCGACCACCCAAATATTTCCTGTAAAAATGAAGTGCCCTGGCAGAGTGGTTCCAGGCTGATAAAATACATAAATTCGGTATGCTGTATCCGATAAGTTTGAATCTGATTTAGCATTTGAATAACGGCTCCTTTCCCGTGCACTGTTTAAAAATTAATTATATCGGCAAAAATAAAAACAAAATGTGCCAGTTAAATTAAAAGCATGAATTATAAGAGGACGAATTTTAACACTCAATATTATTTTACGATATTATATGTATTTTGTTGTAAGTAACAAAATATTAATTAATGTCTCAATGCATTATTGATGTACATGGTCCGGATGAATGAGATAAATGAACTAGACAATACATTTATTCGTACAAACATAATTTGTTTAATATTTTATACAGAAGAACAGCCGTCAAAAACGAATTTGCAAAACAAGTTTTTAGTAAAATATTGTTTACATGCAAATTTTTTTTTTTTTTTTTGCTTCTTCTTATCGTCGTATTTATGTTTCACATTCTTAAGTTAAATTATAATTTTCTCAAAGGGGTGTAGGTTTATAGATTTCGAGATTTCCTACATATTCTATTGCGTTTATACACGTGTCACATTTAAATACAAATACAATTAAATACTTTTGAAAATATATCCATTAATCTGTCGATTATTATTTTTATATTTACTTACAAATATAATTGCATTAATTGCATTAAAAAAACTCAATTAATTTAACGAATTTCAAACAAACTAGTATATATTTTATAGTCAATATTCTATAAATCTAAAAACCTTAAGCTGGTATAATAATTTCATAATATTAGTCTCGATCGACTGGCAAAATATAAATTAGGTTCACTATAGGTACCACAGTCCACTATGCAAATCAATAATATACATTATAAAGTTTCTATGCTCGGTTAATTTGATGCACACGTATTACATATAACATCGATTCATAACTTCAAACTAACTTTTAATCAAATAACATTTATTAATAAACGCACGATTACCCATTCAATCACTTTGTGGTTTCATAACAATATAAATAGAGAAGACAATTCCGAAATACTTTTACAATCACGGAATTTCGGGGTTTTTCGGAACCGATTCCGGAATCCCGGAATTACATTTCAAATTTATAACAGCGTAAAAAGATAAAAAAAAAAAAATGATACATGCATTTTTTAAATTAATTTTTTATTATTATTGTAATATATCTATATATTTTTTTTATATATCATTCTAAAAATGTAATAGTATGTTTTACAGAAAAAAAAATGTGAACAGTAAATATAAAAAATAAAAACAGAAAAATTCAGGGTCCCGAGATTCTATTCTCTAAATATAATTCACTTACTAGTATGTTATTTTACGTCTTGTACTTCGGAACGATCGAAATGTTATTTATTAAAGAGAGTTATATACGTTTGCAATAATTTATTTACTACTATATACAATTCCGTGTGTGCACAAATGATACTTGGGTATTTATGCAACGTGCAACGGCCTATTTATAATCTCAAAGTAATATCGATGCACCGTTAAATAGATGGGAAGGCAAAAATCGTTATATTGTGATGTCCTTTTAAATCTATACTTCAATGGTGTATATTTTATTAGTAATAACAGTTAATTATTAAATATCATAAAAAATATTATAGTCTATTTGGTCTCCGTTTGAGGTTTGAAAACCGACAGAACATTGTAACATCTATGAAACATCCATCTAATTTTTGTACACGGACGCATTACACTTAGGTATATTTAATAAATTCAGTTTTTATAAATTTAAAGCTACAATTAGGTGGATATTAAATTTTCACCTAGGCCACTCGAATTTTGAATCTAAAAAATATGTAATGATAACTCATAGACATCAAATACTGTTATTATTATACTTCAATTGACGATATTGATAATGTTTGTATTCTAATTGTTTTAGATTCGGAGCGGAGAAATGGATCTATTGGTTTAACTTGCGGTTTTTTTGTATATTTTTTTTTTCTGTTTTATTTTGTGTCTGTGAGTAACTATGAAGTTGCACCTATGAAGTGTAACATCTTTTCTGAAACGAATAGTTGATGCATTTGAGGAAGTTATTTTTACTTTAAAAAACACAATGATCAAATTTACAATATGATTTCATTATTTTAAATTTTTACGTGCGTTTTTTCTACCAGAAATGTTGCTTTTATATTTTTTATTTTCAATTTTGTTTTTTTCAAAACATGTTTAAAGACTTGAAATTTCGACAGAAAACTAATATTTGCTTGACGTGGTAAAATGTTCAAGACATTTGAGCAATTTTCGAACTATTTATAACCATTTTTATTTTACGAGGGTTTTACCTAATTTTTATTTAGTAGGTACTCTATGGATAAATTGTTCGAAAGCTAAAAAATTTAACCCTAAAACTTTAGAGGGTTCATTATAAGTTGTGCTTATTGGTAAACAAAAACTTATATTACGGCCTTTCAGAACATGTATAACCGAACTGAGCTCCTAATCATTTTTCGTAAGCAATGGTTTATCGTTAATTACATATAAAAATTTCAGAACTTTATGTATCCATTTGGTGAGTTGTGTATTATTTATTCTTTAAAACGATTATCAATATTTTTTAATATATTCATAAACGTATTAAAAAAAAAATAATACTCAACTCACCAAATAATGTTGTTAACTACTATAACATAAAATATCAAAGTAATATTTCTAAGAAATTTGCTAAAATTCTGAACAATAAAAAGAACATATTTTTGAAATAAAATTTAAAAAAGACTGTCCATAATTAAAATTTTGCTAAACATGTTTTAGAAAATAACCATAATATATGGTTTCATATAAATACAGACTTAGAGATATTAAATACCCAAAAATAACATTTACATTTATTTAGTTTTAGAAGAATTATATATTATAATATTTTACATATTATATTTTTTAATATATATTATAATATAATATTTTAAATTTACAAACCTATTTTAAAAATAATATCTTATAACAATACATTTTAGATAATAAATAATAACCAAATAATTTATACTTCTTAACATATCTATGTCTAATTATAACAAATTTTAAATAATCTCTCCTATTAAAATAAATTATTTCTATGTAAAACGACCATTTTATAATTTTTTTTTTTTTATGTATTCCTTTATTTAATTTTTTATTCAATCGCGTTTTACATTTTGACTGTGATATACCTGATGATGAATTTTTAATTCAAAACCGGTCCCATAATACACTTATCATAATACTCCAGGTGACGCATTCATTCATTTATTTATTTTTTATATATACATTTATTTACTATAATTACCTAAGCGTTGTATGCGTAGTGTTGCTCTAGTGACATCTATGTCTGCCCAAAAATGTAACCTCTCATTTCTTTAATTTAATTGACTTTAAAACGTTCAAGACAATACATTTTGCACCCAAGGACTCGTATAAAACGTATATTATGAATAACATTTTTACGTTCCTATAATATTTTACGTAGCGAAACGATCGAACACAATTCTTCATTCGCCTTGTGAAATCGGAATAACTGAAAATTTTAATTATTATTACATAATATAAAGAACAAATCTATTTTGAACGATAATGAATAAAAAAAATTTAGGTGGAAATTAAAGGACTCACCGGTCCTATACAGTTCAAAAGGGGTCGACGAACCGACTTTAAATTAGATTTAATGAAACTCAAACAGCACACTTTGGCAAAAGTCGGTGAATGGACGCCGGGGATCGGTGTAAACATCACAGATATGTCGGCTTTTCACGACACGGCGCCCTACAATATTACATTAGTTGTCGTAACAATTGTTGTAAGTAAATGTATATTAATGCTAATTGTTATTCAAACTTTATTATGACACATAATTTATTATTAGTTATTAATTAGATCGGATTTTATAGAGTCTATAACGATTGAAAAAAGAAAAACCGAAATCAAATTAACTCGAACTCTTTTTTAGATAATCGACTATCATGGTAAAAAAAAACCATCCTGTATTTTCGGTACATACACTATATTAATACAATATTCGGAAACGCGCAACAGAGAAAATATTACGTACCTATTATACACTTATTGCTATATGACTTATTACAATATGACTACAAGTTTCAATTTAAAACTAATTTTTTCTGAAAAGAAATCGGTACCTATCCAATCATTTTGTCGTAAAAGAAATATAACAAAATGATTACAACTAAAATCCAATATTCGGTATTTTTTTACCTACAAACGGCTAAACATAAAAATATTCGACTCTCCATTTTATATTCGTATTATATGACTTACGTTACGTGGCATTTATTTCGTGGAAATGTAATCAATGTGCACTACCAAGCGAAGTTGAATTTATTTTTTCAATTTTAACGTGAATTTTCGGAAAAAGTCATTATTATATTTTTCAAACCATACTACAAAATGGAAATACTGATATATGAGATAATTGAATGAAAGCTCTTAATGTAATCTGTAATTCAAGCTCAGAAATCTACGAGTATTAATTTAAACGTAAATTGATTTCCAGCATTGTCTCAAAGTGCCTATTACCTATCGAAAAATAAATACTAATAATTTTCGTTTAACTATATGCGTATATACAAAGCGTATCATCCGTATAAATCATGTGACCTGCTGCATTCGCATTCTAATCTGTTTGAAATAGGTGATATAATAATAATGTAGGTTACAGATTAAGTATAGAAAACCTTGTAAATGTTAAATGTTAAATTTTAAATGATATTTTTTTAGGAATTCCCATACGTTATGATGCATCTGGGCAAAAACTATACCGGCAATGCGAGATTTTACGGTTTTTGTGTCGATCTATTAGAAATGATCGCAAAACAAGTTGGGTTCGATTATATTCTGGATTTGGTGCCGGACAAAAAGTATGGTGCTCAAGACCCGGTTACGTTAGAATGGAACGGTATAGTTGAACAGCTTATAAAACATGTGAGTATTTAATTTAAACATTTTTTAAAAATTATTTTTCGCAAGTCTCTAAGATTTTATATCATCTAGTGAACGTATGCATCTATCGCTGTCTAGGGAATCGTCCAATTAAATTCTCTACAATTACACATTTTATTCTGAATAGCCCCATACATAGATCCTTAAACTCCTGTAACGGTTTAAAAAAAATTTGATATTTTTTTTACCGATAGTTTCTCTAAATTAAAAAAAATTTACTCTTAAGGAAACTAAGTATTCAATTAATCAAGCTAATATTTTTTATATAACAAATATGACGTGTACCTCTACACATTTTGTTTTTATTAATCTCTGTATTGTACTATTGTCTCACCGCGTGCGAAAAATTATTTCAGAAATAAATAATTACGTGTTAATAGTTGCAAGAATGGCGGCCACTGCAGATAGAATAGTTAACTTTTCCAGTATCTCTGAAATGTATAGATACGGATGGCGGACAACGTTATGATTATTATTTAAACGAAATGGAATTTAAAGAAATAAAAAACACTTCAGACGTATTTCACAAATGTTTCGGATTTTTGAAGTATCGAAAGCAACGATAATTCATTTTATTCGAAAAACAATTGCGCGAACCAGAGTTCAGTATAACATTAGGTTTTTGTTTTCGATAGTTTTTTTTACGATAACTATTGATAATATAGAAAAATGACCTCACATTAATATGAGTACCATTCCAGTTTAGATAAGTATGGATTGATTTACTGAATGAAACTTAGTCGACATTTCGATGTGAAATTAATTTGTTTTGGTATTTCACAATCGAAATAATACGTATACCGATAACTTCCGATAACTTGAGATTCATCAATAGTATTTTATTAATCAGTTTATATTATAACTTAAATTTAGTAAATATAAATAAAATAAATAATTTTCACCATCTGGTTACAATATTCAGCTTATTCATCATATATTTGAAAATCAACTTCAACATTTAACATGTTATTAATTAATTTGTTTGTATCTACTTGGTTTTTTTTTTTTTTTTGTGTTCAGAGGAGAAAACAAACATCTACCGATGAAAAATTAATAATTTATTTTAAACACGTCAATTAATATTTGTAATCAATAAGGTAATATTAATTATTTTTTATTGTTTGTTTAAACATTTTTTTTTATTTTCTGAAGTACACTTTACTTGTTTAGTTATTTAAAATACCTGAACTATGACCTGATATTAAAATGTATTATATACGTCATTCGAAACGAATTATCGATTGATTAACATTATAGTTTTAATGTATTTAATTAAATACTCGTATATAAACAATCATTATTTTAAACGAAATAGTATTAATTAAGTTGATAATATTTTTTATGCAGAAAGCAGATTTAGCTGTTGGATCAATGACTATCAACTATGCCAGAGAAAGCGTCATTGATTTTACTAAGCCGTTTATGAATTTGGGAATCAGTATAATGTATAAGGTGCTCGTAATCATGTGTTTTCAATATTATAGGATAAGTTTAACCAAAATGATGGTAGATATTTTAATAATAGAGTTTTAATTTTAGTGAAATGATTTGGAACAGTTATTTTATATATTAATGATAATAATAGAATAGAGCTGATACTGGGAACGGGTGCGGCCACTGTTGTAGGTGAGAAGTTGGGAAGGTAGAATACATAAAGTTATTTCATTTATATCTGTAAGCAACGGTTTGTCCATTGCTAACGAAAGAAGATTCCGAGTACAGTTCGGTGATACATAATTTATAGTGCCGTAATTTTTTTTAACCTATCAATCTGATAATTATCTGCATCATTAAAAACAAGATTAAAAATTCAACAAAAAATGTCACTTGTCGTTTTTCAATTCGAGTCATATTTGTGCAAGAAAACGTGGTAGGTACTTATTTAAAATAACGGAATCGTGAAAAAGTCGTATTTTTTTCCCGGTTAATCGTTTTTATTTTAAATACCGTTTCAAAAATCAAAAAATGACCAGGTAAAATTTTCTAAGTAAATGAAATTAACTTTCAGAAAAGAGACTACATTTGTACATCGGAGAGGATTTTCTAGGATAAAATTGGTCTACAGTATATAAAAAAAAAAATAAAGTACCATTGCAAAAAAATTTAAAAAAGGAAAAATTGGTTCGATGATATTGGAAATTTTACCACGTCTAGGAAAGTCCAATAAAAGTATTATTATCAATTTTCAACTCTCTACATGTATTTATAACCGAATTACATCAGAAAAACTCCCAAAAACCAAAATTCCTTAAAAGCTCAAAATTGGCTCAAAAGTTTTGGAGATGATGCCGTAAAGAAAATAAATCAAAAAGGCAACAAAACAGGTACCTTGTAATTTTTCGATTAAATAATTTTTCCTGGTAGAAAACGTCGTCCATGTTTTTATAAAATAATGAAATCGTGAAAATGTACGTTTTTCTACGTTTTTTCCCCACTTATATGTTTTTATTTAAAATATTGAATCGAAAATCAAAAAATAACCCGTTTAATGTACAATTCAAACAACTTAAGATTTCAGAAAAGGTGCTACACGTAAAGATCGGAGCAAGTTTACTAGGAAAAAACGTGTTCACAGACTAGTACAAAAGAAAAATAAACAGCATTGTAAAATCAATAGCTGCCTCGCTTCGCTCGGAATCTTAAATAATAATAATGATATGATAATTTATTGTATTTAGATGAAAAACATAATATAAAAAAGGCCAAGGCCTGTGGAAGAGACAATAGTTCTAGCCAACATTATTAAAATAAATACTAATGCATGTAAATGTTACGGTTAAAGTTATTAAAAAGCTATTGTGTTAATTGTAAAATCGTTTATTGTCGTTATATTTATACTTTACCGATTTTGTGCTGTAGTTTTAATATTAAAATGTATTGGCAGAGTTTATTTAGTTAACACAAAGGTAGAATATTGTTTATATTTGTACATTGATTATTTTCGACTTGTTAATTTTTAATTTCAATTCGACGATTTTGAAATTGTAATATTCCACGTATTCGTAATTGGTTTAAAAATTAAAATATCGAAAAAAAACTAACGTAATTAACTAACAAAAACAAAAAATGTTCTCATCTTAAAGTTCGATAATAGACTAATACACTAAAATATTAAAACTAATAGCACAAGTCGGTTTCATATTCAAAAAGTACAAATTTAGTAACATTAACAGTAACATATACATTAACAACATTAATTTAAATTAAATTAATACAAATCAAAAATAACGAAAATAAATATACTCGTGTATTACAAAAAACAAAAAAAAATGGAAAGATAGAGAATAAAACAAAAAGTGCAACAAGTTGTACAGGTACCTACGCATCGATATCATCACATGGACATTCTTAACTTACACTTAACATGTTTTTTGTAGGGATCATAACATGTAAAAGATTTTGTATTATATACAAAAAATAATAGTTAAATTAACTGAATCTCTTTTTTCGAATTCAGTATTATATTTTAGATTCTGAGCGGAACGAGGAATTAGTTCTATGATGTTTTTATTTTTTTTCTGTGAACAACTTTTCTCCCAAAAATTTTGCTCCAATTTTAGAGTGTAGCAATTTACATGAAAAGAAATCTGACCTCCATAAAACTTTAGACAGGCTATTTTTGTGATTATCGCAGGGGTTTTTATAATAAATAGAAAAAACCGTAAGAAAAACGGGAAAGTTTGCGAAATTTATTATTTTCAAATTGTAAATGTTACGACCTTTCAAAATATGTGTAATCGAACTCTGCTCAGAATCATTTTTCGTTGCATACATATACACATTAAATTTCCTCTCTACCTTTCCAACTTTTCACCTACAACAGTGACCCAACCGTCGTGCGAAGTATGTATTTTTGTTTTTTAAATTAAAATACATTATTAACTATTTGGCGAGTATCATAAGTGTAGCTGAAACTAATGCTTTCAAAATTGAAAAAAAATCAAGATAATTATTACATCTTTAGTGTGTGATTTTTTGAAATTTAAAATATTATAACAAGTACTTAATAGTAATTCGATACTAGAATTAAAGGGTTTCCTAAATACTATCCTTAACAAAGAATTTATTGTAGTTCTAAGTAGTCTCAAATAGTACTCAAAAGTACCAACTCAGACCCAAATTCCATAAGTATATGGATGTATGTAATTATAAGTACATACTGATTACGGAATACCACAAAAAACCATTTTCATTGTATTTGGTATTACTATAAACTTAATAGCTAACACAATAATAATTTATTCACATGTTTAATATACAAACTTCTTATTTATCAACCTACTTGGTAGACGGACCATTACTTATGCGATCGAATTCGACACCTCATTAGTCATTATAATATTCTAACGCGTTATATCTAATGAAAATAATAAAACGTGGAAAAACTTCAAAAATCTAACCCATATTTTTTATAAGTATTAATTAATACAAAGTATTATTATTAGTATTATTAATACAAAATTTAAAAAAAAAAACCTAATTCCAATTTAAAAAAACTTTGTATGAATATAATACCTTTGTTATTATTCAAATAACGCCATACAATATAATGCTTACATATTGAAAATATTTTAAATAATGTAAAATCTACCTAAAATATTAATATTTTGTAAAATATACAAATAAATAAAATAGAAATTTTATATTTGATTAAAGATTCAACATAACAATAATATTATCGAATAGAATGTTTTCTTTTGTTTCCTTTTGTTTTAACCTCTGCTTAACGAATATATATTATGAAGTTCCAGCTAAAAAAGTTATGTTGATTACAACTGTTCCCTAGTTAATTTTTATAATCTTAATAGTAAAATCTTTTATGTAAATTGTTAAAGTTTTATCTTTTAAAATAGACTGTTCCAAAACGTTATATTATTTGCCACTCCTAATCAAAAAACTTATACCATTTATTTTTAAGACCGTTAAATAAAAATGTCATTCTAGTAAAATGTAAAAGTTGATTTGTCTTCGGACCGATCTTTAGTAACTGATATGTTATGCAAAATATTCGAACTATTATATTTTTTTTATTTTACAATAAATAGGTTCCCAGCAACCAGCCGGCTCAATTTTTTTCGTTTATGAACCCCCTGTCCCTGGAGATATGGATTTACTGGTTGGTCGCATATGTGGTCGTGTCCGTCACGCTATATGTCGTGGCTAAATTTTCACCGTACGAATGGGAGGATGAAAATCCCGGAAAATTGTTGAAGAACCCCGGTCAACAAACAGTCAGCCCACAACACCTCAATAGATTTACGTTGTCCAATAGTTTTTGGTTCACGATTGGGTCGCTTATGCAACAAGGGTCAGACATCAGTCCAAAAGTATGCAATTTTGACTAAATTAAAATTTGAAAAATAATTTAAATTCAATCGATTTGCCTATTCTGATTTTATTGATGTCCTCAATACTTGGCATGCTTCTTTACTATTGGTCTTCCTCTCTAATTTTTTCCATCATATATCATTTCTTCCAGAATTAGTCCATCCAAACCATCCATTCCTGAAAAAATATCCAAGTCATTCGTTTCTCAATATTTTTTAATATTATTTTTTCATTGTAATATAGCGATCGTATCAGATCAACTAATCTCCTACGTTTCGCTACCCTTACATCGATTACTATTAAAACCTGATTATTTTACAAGCGGCTCATTTTTCGGTGCCTTTATAGTAAAATGTCTTACAACGAAAAAAATTTCTGTAGTTTATACTATTACAGTCATGTTAAATTATTAATGTATACGATGTATTTATTTTCATAGGCCTTTTCCACAAAAATAATTGGATGTGTTTGGTGGTCCTTTACACTGATCATCGTATCCTCATATACGGCAAATTTAGCTGCATTTTTAACAGTCGAAAGAATGGTAAACCCAATTGAAAATGCTGAGGACCTTGCCGCACAAACGAGTATAGCTTATGGTACATTGGATAGTGGAACCACCATGACATTTTTTAGAGTGTGTAACGTTTTAAATACTAATAATAACTATCGAAATTAATATTCATTGAAAACAATTAATATTTAATACAAATTACAAACAAAACAACCGGAAATTTTATGTACTATTATATAAGTTACATTGGCCGATTTTGTGAAGTCATACGATATACATAGCTCTCGTTCCGGCTTAGTTTAATCATGGTGTGTTTTTAAGAAAGAAATCGGTTTTTTGAAGGACTCCATGATCGAAACGTATAAGAAAATGTGGGCGTACATGCAAAAGAAGAAACCGTCGGTGTTTGTGACGTCGTATGACGAGGGCATCAAGAGGGTACTACAGGGTAACTACGCGTTTCTAATGGAGTCTACGATGCTTGATTACTCGGTTCAGAGGAATTGCAATCTAACCCAAATAAACGGGCTGTTGGATTCCAAGGGATACGGAATCGCCACGCCCATGGGTAAGTTTTATTGGTTGAGTTTATGCGTAGGTATTCATAACATATTTATGTATCCATTTTTATTTCAGGGTCTCCGTGGAAAGATCAGATATCTTTGGCAATTTTAGACTTACAGGAGAAGGGTGAAATACAAATGCTATACAACAAATGGTGGAAACCACCAAACGACATGTGTGTGCCCGAGGAGTCTGGAGCGACAGCTGCGAAAACCAACACCCTGGATTTCAAAAATATATGTAAATATGTTTTTAATTTTGTTAAAAATACGTTTAAAATTCTGTATACTAAAACGTATTATTCTGTATGATAGTATATACGGGTTTTTTTTTTAGGTGGAGTTTTCGCTGTTCTTTTAGCGGGACTTATAGTATCGATTATGGTGTCCATCTACGAGTTCTACTACTACAGGAAACAGATTAAACATATCGAACGGGTAACTATGGTATTTACTATTAAACTGTGTAATTTGACTGCAGCTATAACGAATTTATAAGATCAAAGATGCCATATACGTGGGTACCCTGGGGCTCAAGCACCCGTCATTTTATTTTAAGAGCACCCATCAGATATTAGACCTGACGATTAAGGATATGGGTATAATATTACAGTTTTAAAATTCTTGACAAAATTTGATAAAAACCAAAAAATCTTAAGCTGATAAGAAACTTTGAATGTTTATCAGTTATCGATACCATTACGATTGTAATAATGATAATTATATCTTGAAATTTTGATTTTTTTTTTTTTTCTTTTACAAAATGTCGTATAATATATATATGATTTAAAATTAATGTTTCAAAACATAGTAAACAATGAGTAGTTATATCTACTTGTAAGTGGAACATACAGGTGCATTATTAACATGCCACGCGCCATGTCGCCATACAAATGATGTTCCACTATTCTCCCCCAAACCAAACTTAAAAGTAAAATATCTCGTCAACGGATTAACGTAAATCAAAAATGTCAACACCGAAATTTATTTTAACTAATACTCCATATATATATATATGGAAATTTCAATATAGGTTGCAATGTCAAAATCAAATGTAGGTAGTGGTCGGTTTTACCCCGAAAATAAGGGTAACAAAAAATAACTTAAATATAAAATTGTAAAGCAGCTTGTTTTTTAAATATTATATAAAGCAAATTCCGAAAAAAAGTTAATGCATTTCGAGATAATGAGTGTACCCGTTTGGAGCACCCTGTACAATGTTTTTTCAGTGGTAGGAAAGGTGCTAGAGTTTATGACACCTGGGGCTGGGTCGCCCGGTACATTTTTAAAAACCTAGTGATGGCTACACAAACTGTTACAGCATACTACGTATAATAATAATTGTTTCTCGAAAACCCATCATGTGAATTTCACGGTCTAATCAAATTATATACCTATTATATGCAAAACTAATTCGCTTTTAAAAATACTGTACTCCTTACTTTCAATTAATGCATAACTGCATGAGGACAACCAACTGAAATAATAATAGTAAAATATTTCCGCAGGTCTATATAAACCGCTGTAGTTATTAAATGTCTTGTTTTCCACCCGAATAATAATGAGGTGGTGGTAATAGTGATCAAATAAAGTAGACCGACACGAGACGAAAGATCAAACAAGAAAACAATTATATTACTTGTTTCATTACTAATACGTCCCCCCGTGTTTGTTGAAAAACGGCATTTCTCAGATGCATCACGTATTTGATTTAAGTTTGCTGAACTATATCGGACGAAAACGGTATAATACAAAAATGTATAATCATAACTCGTAGCGCTGATCGAGATCATAATATAATGATAGGATGAGGAAGACCGTTTATTAATAATTTCGACCACGAATAGCCGAACAATAAAAAAGAATAAGCCTTCTAGACCTTTAGCCAAAAGCGTCTCGTGTCGTGATTACGTACCGCCGTAACGGCGGAAAAGAATATTTGAACGGAAATTGCAAAACATCGAAGACGGTGTTAAAACGGACAAATAGACGACTACAACTATTCTTATCCCTTCGCCGTAAGTAAGTAAGTTAGTAAGTAAATATAGGTAGGTAGGTAGGTAGGTAGGTAGATAGATATATAGGTAGGAGGTAGGTATAGATACATGATGTGCGCATAAATATATTACAATATTTCCCAGTAACTGCTATACAAAAGTTATATTTCAAAAACTCGAGGCGGAACAATGCGTCGGTATAATGAGATTCTAATGCGCTCGTGTTTATCTAAATTATACCGAAAACGACATCACATAATGTGTCTGAAAAGGGAATACATTATATTTAACGCGAACGGGTGTGTATATATTTACGCGGATATTATTATTTACTGTACCGCAGGTATAGCGAGTGTATCTGACTGCGCGCGTATAAACACACAAACGTGTTCGGATTTAAATGTAAACGCTATTTTATCAAGTGTATGATAGGTACCTATATCTGTCCAGTGCCTAGTAATTTGTGTTTGCGTACTGCTTGCGCGAGTCTTAGACGGTGCACAAAAATCTGTCATTCCGCCGCACAGCGGCGCGGCGAACTCGAAATTACCGAAAGGCAGACATACGGTTTAACTGACGACCCGACTCGTTTAAAACGAACAGTCACTTAATTCCATAGACCGGATAAAAAAAAAAACCGCGGAAAAATGTACATAAATGTTTTACGTTTGTCCGGTGAATATTCCGAACTCGCTTCTCAATGAAAACTATTACGTGCAGTGTATCGTATTGTACGCGCATCAAGTGACGTGTATTTTCTCTTTCTGCGTGTTTATTTATAACCATTATTTAATCAACCGTGCGTCGTTCTTAACGTGTTACCGTGATCACGTGGTGTAATATTTTATCATATTTATTGTCCAGAAAAAAAAAAAAAAAAAGACTTTGGCAGTGAAATATTTTAATCATCAACGATTAGTTCGGTACCAATCGGGTGGTTTGTTTTTTCGTACCATTCTCTCGTTCGTTTAATAATATTGTATACAAGTCGCCGTCACGTGGTCGTCCCGAATCCCAATTGAATCTTTGTACAGATTTACGATCAATGAAACATGATACCTACCATACAGTTTTAAATAAAAACTGGCTAGGTACGTTTACGCGTTGTTTTTATTTTTATTTTCTATACTTAGTACGATTTATTATAATTTTTAATCAAAGTAAATATTATGTTATGCACATTATCGTAAGCAGACGATAAATATATTATAATACAAATTTATCGCACTGCTATAAGAATAACGGTTTGTTAAAAATGCAGTATTTGTTTTGTGCTGTTAACTTTTGGTTTGCCTTTGGGATATTTTTTGCATTATTGGATTACATCATCTGTTGTATAAGCCGATTACAACCCAGGACTGTTATTTACCTACTTATAATAATATAATACGACTACAGCCTTTTTTTGTGTTTTGTTTTTTTCCTATCAAATATGGCAACAGCGAATAGGACCACAGAGGTCCACGTGGAGGGATTTGATCGACGAGCTGTGGTTCGTTTTGAAATGCCGTGGGTCCAGACAGCGAACCGTGGTGTTACACAGATGCGAGGAATGCCATCCAAAGGCCAAAGTGAGTGACGTAATTTATGTGTACTACTACCATCTACAACCGATCGTGCATATCGCGATAAAAACCTATCTACGTTTTGTAATGATATTATAATACATATCCGTCTCGGTATATTTTTTTTTATTTTTTTTTTTTTTTTATCGTTCAGACGACGGAACGGCGTTCAAGGAGAGATTTCATGAGAGCCAACAGATTGTAAGAAATCAATGATTGGAAGATTATAATAATATACTGCACTGCGTACCTACGTACATAATGTTATTATGTAGGCCATGTGTCGCGTAAATTACGGCGTTAGCGTAAAAAAAATAGTTTTGCACACTGATGGTAACGATTTTACTCATTATAATTTTATTGCTATAATATTGTATAAAACCGTGATCCGAGTACTTTTAGACATATCTGTACTTTAATAACACAGTCAGTGGAAAATAAGTTTACCGTATCTATACGCGCTTTATACGTGAATGGGACCTAAATAATTAGTAGTTTGTGTTTAATTTTTTATTTGTTAAACATATTTGAGAATGTATGAAACGATGTTTTAGAAATTAAAACAAATATATTTATAGGCTGAAAACTCGTTTAAAGTGTAATGTGTTTTATAGTGTTGCTTAATAATAATAATGTTAATGGCATGTAGAACGTTTTTCTTTTTTTCGTAGCCCGGCAATTTCCCATACCTAATCACTACCACCTCCCGTTCTCTTATGAACAAATCAGTAATAAAGTGTTACTAACTATTACTTCAAACAGTTCAAACCCGTTGTTCTATACCCAATGGCTGTTTCAACAATAACAATACGTTTTTTTTTTTTTTTTTTTTTAATACTGTTATAAACGACTTAATTTCAAACGAAATAATTTATTCTTCAACCAATCATTCGAATCATTAGTCTACAAAAAAATCAAAAAACGAACGCTGCATACTAGCTGTCTCGCGCGAGGCGGTGCCCGTGCTAATTTTTATTGTTATTATTTTACTACGATTCCGTGTAATGTGTGGGTACAACTTTGAAACCTACACAAACAAAACACTTAAACGATTTCCCGTATTATTATTATTATTATTATTATTATTATTTATAATAACTAAAGAAAACCTTAATAAAATCATATTTACTCGAGACGTTCATAGATAATGATCGAAATATTACCCCGTGTTATCCGGCTCGGCGAGTTCAAACGGTTGGCCTCAAAGGAATTACGGTGAACGCCGTAGGGTCTAATAAAATCGGGCCCCTTTATCCTGCACCGTAGGCGCGATTCCGCGCACGCCGATAATAACCGTTAATACATACGTACGCGTACGCGCTTATGTATTGCGTATACCGTACGTAAAACATACGTTACAAAATATACAGGTAACGGGAAACGGTGGGCGTGAACAATGCAAGTACAGTTACTGTGGGACCGGCGTCGGTAATACGTCGTCACCGTGTGCACTAACGGTGCACGCCGACGTACTCGGTAGGACCCGATCGGAAAATCCCCGTACGCCGTACGGCCGAGCACTTTTTACATTTTTTAAGTACATTTTTTTGCACGGCCGGGCCGTACACACGAAACGGAACGACGCAATAGCCGTCCGTCCGTTCGTGTATAGCGCCCGCGCAATTGAGCGAGAAACCGCGCGCAACGTTGCCATATTCCGGCGGCGAATCTGGTATTGCACAATGTATCATTCGAATCTAAACGGCGGATTTGACGTCGAACAACAGTGGGTTATCGTAGAACTCGAAGTTCAGCTTGCCGTGGCCATACAGCGATAACGCTTGTATTATAATATTGTCGCTATTATAAGGGTATATTCAGAAATATAAATTATAAAAACTGAGCGCGCTCGATTGTAACAGAGAAAAAGTGTCCGCGATAAGGACCGTTCTCGGACGCGGTTCGACCAGGACTTGCGCGCGCACTCAATAACAGTCGTGTACCGTACGGTACAACCGCGACATATTCGGGCGCTGTGCGGCCGCGTGCTAATTATGCGCCACACCGCTTTCCTCCGGCGTAAATTCAAAAGTGCACTATCTCGTCGACGGCCCGACGGAAATAGAAAATGTCAACACTCGAGTTTACCCTGACCAATAACCCGTATGTTTATGGAATTTTCAATCACGGGTCGCCGTTTGAAAATCAAAAGTAGGTAGTGGTTTTACCGCCGATAATAAGGCTAACGAAAAACAACTTAATCATGAACATTTTTAGAGCAGCTTGTTTATTAGATGCTCTAAACTAAACTAATTCCGAAAAAAGTTAATACTTTCCGAGATAACGAGTGTACCCGCTTAAATGAATCACCCGGCACGTGCAGTTACAAATACAACGGTTTAATACACGTGTACGGGTATTTTAAATACCCGGAGGAAATCGCAAACCCCGGTTTCAACGAACAACGTTAATAGATAATATTAAAAAAGTGACAAATTAAAATATAATAATATTTTAAACCAAATGTTGTAATACTACGATCGTAAAAATCATCGCGGTCTACGCTTAGAGGTTATAATTATAACATATCATTAAACGTTTTAATATTTACGTGTTATAATTAACGATTCAACATATTGTCCTTTGAAGCTTTGACAAAATACTCATAAAAAAATATGATTTTATCAAAATCGACGCAAATGTATACATACACACCGGAGGGGAGAGGAGCTTTATCCTCCCGTATCCATGAATGAAATTGTGTGTATCCACCCACAAAAAATTAATTTAATTAATTTAAATTCACAAAAAAAAAAAATGCTGAATACGCTACTGACGGAGACTTAAAAAATGCAGAAGTGTCATAAATCCCGATTACATTTTATTGATACAATATAATAATGAATATAATTCAATATAATTTCAAACGCATTGAAACAGAATACATTTTACGTTACTGCTAAGGTAACACATTTTGCGTATTTATTAATTTATGTAATTTACTGTTGCACTTGTTAATAATTTACCGCCTAGACGACATTATAAATGCATAATTACGAATACAACCGAAACACATTAGGTACCTAGATATTTATTTTAATTTTTCTTAATAAGTGTCTGAACATTACAGGACGATCCGCATAACGGCAAACATTCATTATCTCGGAAGGTCGACAGAAATTAAAAATGTCGGTATCGAATTTTATTTGACTAAAACTTCATATATTTTTGGAACTTTATGAACAGTTTGCTATTTTAAATACAAAAGTGGGTAGTGGTTCCACTCCCGAAAATTAGGGCAGCGAAAACTAACGATAATGTAACACATTAGAGTCGCTTGTTCTTTAAATTGCCCAAACAAACAAATCCTTTCCGATATAATAAGTGTGCTACGTAATGTTAATCATACTGTATAATGTACACTATGTACAATTACACACTTAAGATTATACAATTATTTAATGGCAATGTAATATAATGGCATACAATTTACAATCCGTGCATTAGTATGATACTTAGACTTAGACTATAAATATATTATAATATCCATGTTATTTGAACCTAACTGTTCGTATCTTTGTGATAAATACGTAATATATTTATATTTAGTTGAAAGTAAAATTGTTTTATGTTAAGTTGAAGAAATCTTCGAAATAAAAAATACAATGAAAAATTCCAAACTATATTATCGATTGAAATATGTAAGTATTAATTATACATACAAATTTTGTTATGTATACATTTTAAAATTAATAATTTTTTTCCATATTATGTTTTTTATTTAGATGTTCTTAATATTTGTAATTTCCTATAATGATTTTTTTAATGGGTGTTTAATGGTATTCTCATCAGTTTTATTCTCACAACTACGAGATCCTTCATCACCAATAAAATTAAATGCTAACGAAGCATCTTGGATAGGTAAGCAAACGGATGAATATTATTATTTTTATTTTATCCGGTTTCTTCAGCTATTTAAGGTTGTCCTCCAGGCTATTTAAGGTTGTAAACCTTAAATAGCACATATCCATAATGCCACATATCCAGACGTATAGGTACTCAAATTCAATATATTGGAATGGTTGAATTAAAATTGCATAATGTTTTATTTTTTCAGCTAGCATTCCATCACTCATAAGTCCTCTTGGTTTGCTTATCATTGGAATATTAACAGATAAAATTGGTAGGAGAAAAGCGCTTCAAATTTCATTTATACCAATCATTGTAAGTTTTCTTATACTAGCCTATTCAAATACCTATGAAACAATTCTCATCGGAAGAACCGTTGGAGGTCTCATTTTTGGTAAGCACGGTTTTTCGTTCATAGCTATACATATCGTAATAGTAATAATTATGTATAAATATCGTATAGACAAATAGCATTTAGTTTATATTTATTATAATAAAGTTGAAATAACAAAAGTCACGAATTATGTTATATCTATCAGTAAAATTATTCAATTACAACCCACGAATAAGCGGTTTTTTGGACTCCGATAAACGTTAACTAGTATACCAGGTGATCCGTTTAAGTGGGTACACTCATTATCTCCTAAAGTATTAACTTTTTTCGGAATTTATTTTCTAGAACATTTAGTAGAAGGAGTTATTTTACCCCCATATGTAAGGATGACAAAAAATAACATAAATATGAATGTATAGAGCTGCTTGTTTTTTAAATTTTCTAGAAGACAAATTTTGAAAAAAATTAATGCTTTCCGAGATAAAAAGTGTACCTACTTGATTGGATCACCTAGTATTAACGAGTAGGTACTCGACTCAACTCAACAGTTTTATTTTTTTGTACTCGACAAAGTACTCGAGTACTTCCTGGACTATTTTTACTTGAATATGAAATAAATGTAAAAATTATGTATAAATATCTTAAATATCAAATATTTCCGATATGATACCATGATGATGGTTTGAATATACGAATATAGAATGGTATTGTTTTATTTTTACGAATGACAACTTGATATTTGTAAAGACCCTTTAATACGAATTATAAAGCTCAATATTTTAAACTAGATGTCTAAATGTCTAGATGGTGTAATAAGAAAAAAAAACAATCAAAACTACTCAGTAAATTTGGTTCAAATTCGTATATAAGTCAGTTACAGAACTGCAATTTCAATGTACATAGAAAATATTCAAGTACCCGTGTAATTTCAGTTACTCGACGACTTTTGAGCACTCGAATTTTGAACTTAATTAAAAGTAAAAAAAAAAAATAAAATAGACTACTATAAACTAAAACTCTAAAAATACAAGTTCTAAAAATAAAAAAAAATCTAAATTATTGCGTTATTTATTTTTTAGGATCAGACTCTTGCAAATTCGTATACGCGTCGGAAATATGTACACCAGACCGGCGGCAGCTCCTTTATTCTGTGATGTTCGTATTCGTGGGCTTCGGCATGATGGCAGAAAGCATATTTGCAATGTTTCTGCACTGGCAAACCGTTTCATTGATACTCGCAGTGATGAGCGCCACCGGTATGGTAGCACTGTTCGCAGTACCAGAGTCGCCTACGTGGCTGAGGGCACAGGGCCGCGTAAAAGAAGCCGAGCGCGCGGAACAGTGGTTCGGATTAAAACCCGGGATATTGGTAACCACGGTCAACGGTGATAAATTCAGCGATAATCACACTGTCACCACCAGTGCTGATCGGTGGGACGCGTCCTCGACATCCCCGACATACTGGTCGGTGTACACCCGTCGAAGCGTATGGTTACCAACTTTGATGACGTTGGCGTTCTTCGCCTGTCAGGAGGGCAGTGGCCTGTACGTGATGCTTTCTTACTCAGTCGACGTACTACGGGACTTCAAGGTCCAGTGGAACGATACCGTGGTCACTGCGGCTATCGCTTTATCCCGGGTGGCGGGCAGTGTGGCATTCACCGTGATGTACAACGTCAAACGCAAGACATTGGCCATCACTTCTTTCGCCGGCATGGCCGTGTCACTAATCGTCATTATCACATACGTGAAAATATTTCCAAACACGGATAGGCCATTCGGCGACCTCGTACTGTCTTCCGGATTCGTGATTTACATGTTTTTCACCCTAGTGGGCGCAGTGCCGATACCCTGGACGCTGGGAAGTGAAGTTTTTCCGAATGACGTGTCAGGTTAGTTGCCTTAGGCATTTATTGGTTTCCATGCCAAAATATTAATATAAATAAGATCATTCGATTCGATTGATTATATCAATTTATAACGCAATATGTCTTTATTATCTCAGATTAACGGCACATTTTATAATTCGTGGTTTAACTCTGCCGAGCTTAATCTGTCGTCTGACCTAAGGACTTAATTATTTCCGGTATCACAAATGCCGATCTGGTTTGGTTAAACTAAACTATTGTTTTTTTTTTCTTCTGAAATATGTGATGGTACCACTAAATAATCTACGGAACATCTTGGTAACAGTGGAATGGTAATATTGTGTTTCTATAGTCAGTTTATTAATCGTTATGCTGTAAGAAAAAAACAAATTAGAAAAGTTGATTAAGTTGATAATAATCATTCTATAATTTCCATTCGTTCGTTGGTTTAATATACAAATTATTCGTAAAATTCGAATATTAATCTAATTATGCTTTGATCGGTATCTAAGACATAATAATATTGTACGTAAATCCGTTACTATTGTTGGTTCTCATAGTATAATTATTGTATTTACGAATCCGAAAAGGGGTCCTATTGGGGTTGAATGACCAATCGCCATCAACTGAATGTTGTGATAGAATTCGGTGTGACGAGATTTTCTGACGCAATAGATAGACCGTCCTACAACTGCATTGTCGAAGAAAAAATTCCTAGTGTGCCCTAAGACATACTGGGAAGGCAACCTAATATTCTCGCTTGAACAACCACTGTGGACGACGGCGGATTAAATTCACCGCACCTCATCAACTTACGAGGGTTGTCCCAAAAGTAATGCACAATTTGCTCTGAATAAATAAGTTTTTATTTTAAACTAAATACAATATTATAGACCTTCGATATAATCCCCCTGCTTGTCTATACACGATTGCCATCGTTTCGGGAGCGCTTGAATGCCGCATAGGACGCCATCTTTGTTGAGTTCACGGATCCTTCGGCTCACTTCTTCATTTAGTATATCTAAGTTGGGAAAACGGATCCCTCTAAGTGGTTTCTTCAGTTTTGGAAATAAATCAAAGTCCGGAGGACTTAAATCCGGCGAATACGGTGGGTGTTTGAGGCGTTCCCATCCATATTTCTCCAAAAGAGCGACGACTGGTGCTCCGATATACGGCCGCGCATTATCGTGCAATATGGACACACCATTTTGTAACATTCCTGGTCGCTTTTTACGGATTTCTGGTCGCAATTTTTTGGCAAGGAATGTTTTGTAGTAATCCCCGGTTACACTACTGCCAATTGGAACTCGATCAGTGACAATTATCCCAAGTTTATCGTAAGCAAAAATCATCATTTGTTTCACCTTTGTTTGCTGGCGACGAACTTTTTTTGCTCTTGGTGATGTTATTCCNTCACGGATCCAAGTCTCATCTATTGCAATTATACGATCAAGAAACGTTTCTTTTTCATTTTCGTAGCGAGAAAGGAGTTCACGGCAGATGTCTTTACGTGTATCCTTCTGTTCCGGTGACAGAAAATGAGGCACCCAACGTGCTGCAATGTTTCGTTTCTGTAGAATTTCCGTTAAAATGCGGTGAACACTTGATTTTGAAATACCTGTTTCATTTTCTATCTCTCTCACCGTTATTCGTCGGTCTTCATCGAGTAGAGTTGCGAGAATAGCCGCGTTAGTGTTGTCTTGAGTAACCGTAGAGGGTCGGCCAGAGCGAGGGTTGTTATCAATACTTATACGACCATCACGGAATCGCTGATGCCATCTTTGCACCGTACTACGATCCACAGTATCCGTTCCACACACTTCATTTAACGCGGCATGAATTTCAGGCACTGTTTTACCACGAATCGTTTCGATTTTAATGTATGCGCGTTGCTCAAAAACAGAAATGTGAGCCGACGAATTGTTCTCACTTTCGTTATCGCTCTCACACATCATCATACTTTACTAAAACAACTAAAACTGAAAACGCACGTGTTCGTTAGACTTCAAGCTACAAACTGATACTAAAATCAGCTAATAATATCACATTGCAAGACAGCTAGAGCGCGTTGTGCATTACTTTTGGGACAACCCTCGTATCACCGTAGACGTAAAGAAGTTTGATTGTGGCGACAATACTGAATGCAGTGCTCGAAATGTAAAATTGTACGAACCGGAACGCTCATGAAATTAATACGTAGATTATAATATTAATTTTTAATTTTAATTATTTTAATTTGTGTTTATTTTACAATACAATATAATTAGTAAAATAAATACAAATAATATAAGTAATTTTAAGCTTAAAAAATGTAGTTGTACAATTCAAATTTGATAGATAGTTTATAATAATTTCCATAATGCTGAGTATTTTTCGTCAATTTTTTTTTCACGTTTGTGAGTTGCTGTGTCATCAGCAGAATGTCTACCTTTGACCATGAGCGTACATATTTTTCAGGACGAAATTCAGTGAGTGGAGAGCCAACACAATTAACAAATAAAAGTGCAGAGACTGTACTAATATTTAATAAAGATCTGTGAGGTGTTATAATTTCATTCATTGAGCTGAAATTTCGCTCGCACTTACTTGTATAAATAGGAATAGTAGCTACGGTTTTAAAAAGTATTTGTAAGTCGTCCTTCCATTTTGTATATTTGAAAACCCCGAACAATATCATTTTCTTTATATAAAACATCTGGAGCTATACAATTTGTTTGTCTAATAACTCATTAGGGTTTCCTCATCGTTGAAATATACAAGGTTATTTCATATATGTCACTTCTCAATCAAATATTTGATGATAAAAACAAAAATAGCAGCTTAAACTGTGACAATAAAGATCGAATATATAAGCGCGGGAATTTTGAATTTGTTAAAATTATTATTTAATACGTAAACTATGCTGTGAACAAAATATTGTATTATTTACTGTTCAGTAATATTTTAATCATTCAGAGTATTGTAAAATATAATGTGTTATAAATTCTATTACAAGCTATAATATCTATTTTATATTTATACAGTCCACAAGTCTGAATTTGTATGCAAGTGTATTTTTCATGATAAGAAAAATTGATATTGGTGATACCCCTTTATGCAGCAATTTTATATCGAATGATAAAAATCCGAATGTATATGGAATAACCTGTGTATTTCAACCATGGGTTTCCTAATGAATTGAACATTATAATATTATAGTATAAAAAATAATTGTAGGTATATGTTATCGATTTAAACAAAATAATTACTACGGATCTTAAATCATACACAACTGATAGAGCTACGGTTATATCTCCTGCACATGCATCGTCCTCTTCATAATACTTTTATAACCTATACTGGGTATTCGGATGTATTTTTTACATAGAGATATATTACAATTCCGTGATATTTTATTGTATAGGTCGTGATAAGACCGATACATCAGCGACAGTACATCGCGCATGCTCAGAAGTGAGATGCCCTTTTGATATGTTGGCGACAAGTTTTATTGCTTATAGCTCTATCCATTGTACATGATCTACAGATAAAAGTATTATTGATTATTATCATTATTATTATTTATTTAACAATAAATTGTATTGATAATAATTAAGGAATACAAATATGATTTAGTAACTCGTGCTATACTGATATAAATAGTACTGCCACTTTCCAGCATATATTATATAATATTACTTATATTATTAATGTAATTTTACTAGTATATATAACTTAACTTTGGTTAGGTTTATAACTAGGGAACGAATGGGTAGCCTTTTAGACCCCTCTACCTTTATTGCTCTTTTAAGTATTTTTAAAGTGATATTTTAGTACTTTTATGACTATGGGCTTTATGAGTTTTAAGTACATATAAATCCGTTACTTAATTATAACAATTCAATGATTATACTTATATGTTATTACGGTTAATCTTAATACCTACCTATTCAAACATATGAAGATGCACATAAACATAAAGGATATGAATTATAAGAACAAACAACAATTGATAAAAATAAAAATCTGGTCCATTGCGGCTTAAATATTAAATAAATAACACATTTAAAGACTAACCTTTGTCGGAATCCGAAAAATTTCATTAAAAAACCATTTGTAAAATCATAACCGAAATCGAAAAATTTCAAAAACCAATTTGAAAACCGAAACCGTTAAAATCAATAACGTTTTTGAGCCCTGGTTAAATATAATTTTGTTTATATTATTTTAATTATTTTATTTCTAGGTACTATGAACGGAGTTATACAAACCATTTCATTCCTCATGATGTTTGCAATCACTAAATCATATCCACCAATGGTTATGCATTTAGGAGTAGAAAATGTTTGGCTAATATTTACTATCTTTTGTATACTAGGTGTCCTTTATAGTATTTACATATTGCCAGAAACGAAAGGAATACCTCTTAACGAAATTTTGGCAAGATTTAATTCTCCAAAAAAATTTTAAAAAATAACCTACCTTAATATTATTTAAACAAAGTTTGATACCATTTTGCACTATTGAAAGCTATATAACATAGATCAATATCTTTTTAGAAATAAATTATACAGTTGAAGTTTTCCACCTCCTCGCATAATACCAACGGTACCAATTACCAATTACGAGTCCAATTACTTAGTTATCAATGTTGATGGCAAATTTAATTTGTTCGTAATTTGATTGTTGGATGCTGTGTAATTTTTGGCGTAGGTATATAAATTAAATATTTTTACAGCATTAAATTTATACGCATGCACAAAATAGTACGATAGTTTTATCAGCTTCAAGGTTGAAATTTCGAATAGGTAAATTTTGTAAAAATCGGAGCATTTCAAAACATGTTTAACCGAACTTCGCGCAGAATCGTATTCCATTGGCAACGATGTATCATTGCGTATAGATGAAAATTAAACAACTCTATGCATCCCACCTTCCCAACTTCCCACCTACAACAGCGATACACAGTGGCCCCCGGCGCTACGGAGGATCGTGCAATGTGTTGCTGACCGTATACATAAAACGTAGAAAACCCGGAATGATCAGCAAGAGATGGGCGCCGGGAAGAGAAAACCGCATTCCGGTGTGTGAGCCGCAGCGTAGCTGCTCCATTTCGCAGACGCTAAAGGTACATTTCGTTATTATTTCGGTACATTTACCATTCTGTGTTGTATTCGGTTTTAAATACCCGTTCTAGAAGAAAAAATTTAATATTAAAACATATACTAATGTATTGTAACATATAATATTTATAAACCAATATTGTAATTTACATTTTGTGTTATTCTCGTTGGATTATAATAGTGTAATGGATACATGTGAATATCTTGTTACCACTGTACATGTTACAACGTATTGTATTTGCTCAAGTGAGCCGTTTCGGCATCCATAAATCGTATGCCGTACCGACATCGTGGTTTTGTACTAATTTGTAACATGCGTACCTACTTACCTTACGGTAGATAGTGAAAAAATAATTGTAATAAAAAAAATCCCCAAACTATTAAAACGATAATATTCAATTATTGACGATATTTGTACTGGTACTTAACAGAACATAAAGTACCTAATGTGTGCAAACTTGAGATAAAATTCACTCAACGATAATGCATCGTAATACGAAATTTAATGAACAATTTTTAATGGACAGCGATACATATTAGACAATAAACATATTGCATTACCCAACAAAACAGTTATTCTATTAGTGACACAAATGTTATAATTTGTATTTTATGTGAAATTGTGTTTTTTATTTTCAATTGCATACAATATAAGAATAAATTATTCTTAAAAAAAAAAAAAATCCAATAATTATACAATGAACGTATTCAACCTATTAAATCCATTGAAATATGTAAGTACAAATGATAATGCGCTAATAGATATTATAATAATTCGTTCCGTTTATTTATTTAGACATTTGTAGTATTAGTAATTGCTTATAATGAATTTTTTTTGGGCTGTTCAATGGTGTTTTCGTCAGTTCTATTCGGACAACTGCAAGAACCAACATCGGAGATACAATTAAATGCTAATGAAGCATCTTGGATAGGTAAGTGAATTTATGATTATTTCTCGGTTTCCCTCCTCTATTTAAGGACCGAAACCTAGTCCTCTTTCTCTACTTGCAAAAATAGGACAAAACACGTTTTGGTAATAACTCCATTAAATGCATAAAATGATAAATAGCTATCCCTTAAAAATACTAAGGAACAATACGAAAAATATCGATAAAGGATTAAACCATCACACCCCACCCCCCGATTAATTATAATAACGAAAAACAATTCTGAGCGGAGTTCGATTAATTATTCTGTGGTATATTTTTAGATTCTGAGCGAAGAATATATGTGTTTACAATGATGTTTTATTATTTTTTATTTTTTTTTGGTTCTTCTGTAGATAACTTTATTAAATAAATTACTATTGCGCATCGTTTTAACTTATTTTATAATAAATATTATTTTAAAACGTTTGAAAAACAAATTACGACTTTACGCCCAACCTTTCTTTTTTTCCCACCACTAAGTACAACTTATGCTGAACCTCGTACATAATTTTAATTACTAATTAAACTACCTGATTTTAATTAGATGAACTTTATACAACTAATATATAATAACTAATAATGTCATTATTGATTTTTTTTTTTTTTTTAATCGGGTTTCGGGTCAGTGGGATAGTAATAGCCATTTTAATTTCTAGAAAATTGGCCTGAAAACAACTAATTTTCAATAGAATAACACGTTACGGGATCAGAAATCACAACCAGCACGGTAATTATTTCTTATCTTTTATTGAAAATTAACCAATTGTTTTCAAACCAATTTTCTAGAAATTAAAACGGATATTATACAAAAACTATTGATTGGATATTAATTTATTGTACATTAAAATATTTAGAATGATATTTTTACAAAATGGCTATTTTTTCAAGTTTTAAAAAATAAAAATATGAATTTTTTTGTCGGTGTTTAGGGTGTGAAAAAAAAATGTTTTTCTTTACACGTATCTCACTGACCCAAAACCCGATTGAAAAAAAAAACAAATAATGATATATCGTTATAAGGTTAATAGAATTATATAATGTTCATATAACACTGTAGGACACCGTGTACATCCGAGCCAGATTTCTTTCAAAAAGTAATTTACAGGCAGAAAAAACAATTTTTAAAAAAACACATTAAAGTAAAAGCAAAACGATCCCTCGCTACGCTCCGAATCTAAAATTACTGCATCCTATAGAGCAGAACCATACAAACGATATGCAAGCTATACACAGGTGCACAGTCACCACAACAGAAAATTAATCAAATTTGATTTGTTTAAAAATCCAAATTCGAATTATAAACGTATGTTTTTGTAGCTAGCATCCCGTCACTGGTCAGTCCGCTTGGGTTGCTTTTAATTGGAATATTAACAGATAAAATTGGTAGGAGAAAAGCGCTTCAGATTGCATTCATGCCAATAGTTGTAAGTTTTCTAATACTAGCGTACTCAAATTCGTATGAAACAATTTTCATCGGAAGAACCGTTGCTGGTCTCATGTATGGTAAGTATTATTTATTTGCTATTAGCTTTTATTTAAAGAACCAGATAGGAATACGAATGATTGTGAGCTTATTAAATCCGTCATTAATTAGTATACTGATAATGCGTGAGTATGGATTTGTGTACATGAATAGAGTGATGTATCCATTGGTGGATTTAAAATCCTTGCGTGTGTTCCACATGGTTCATACGATTAGTCGTAAAAACCTCTCACCATTGCTTTTGATCGCGGAGTTCACACACACATTGATACAACAATTTCAAATAGACATAGGCAATACAAAATACAAACATACTAAGCACGATGGATGGGCCACCGTTGTAGGTGAGAAGTTGGAAAGGTAAATATAGAGAGGAGTTTAATGTATATCTGTATATTAATCGATTAATCTTTGATACGATAAACGATTCTGAGTGAAATTCGGTTATACATATTTAAAAGGCCGTAATATTTACGATTTTCGTCAAAATTTTATATTAAAAATCTTGTAAAAATAAATAAATATTACATTAAACTCAATGTCTACTTGTTAACCGCCATAAGTACAACTTATAATAAACCTCATGTTAAATTTCCAAGCGTTTCTGTTTGGTCTAACAATTTTATCCACAGAGTACCTACCGAATAAACATTACGTAAAAACTCACCCAAATATCTAATAGCTTAAAAATGACTCAAATGTTTTGAACATTTTAGCACTTCTATAAAAAGCAAATATAAGGTTTCTGTCAAAATATCAAGTCTCTACGAATATTTTTTACTGAGTTATAATAAAAAAACAAAATTTAAAATAATATAAAAGTTTTATTTTCGTAAATTTTCCCGTTTTTCCCAGTTTGTCCCATTTATTATGAAAACCCCTAAGAAAATCAAAAAATAACCTCCTTAAAGTACCACCCCAGGAATTTTCGTACATAGTAATAAAAAAAAAAATTACACATCTTTGTAATACCAATGCATTCATTCCTCACTCCGAGCAGAATCTAAAACCAGACTTCACTGGTCAATCTGGACTTTACTGGTTCAGTGACCCCGAAACGACGGGAACCGAAAAAATACCACCGCTGTACCTATACGTAGATCAGCCACTCGTTTTTCGATTTTCCCCGGAGTTTTATCAACAAATATGAAAACCAAAAAAAAAAAACTGAGGAAAAACAGGAAAATGTACGAAATATATGTATTTGTATAATATTACGATTTTTTTTCTATGGACAACTTTTCTACTAGCAACTTTTAATGATAGCAATTATTCTAAAAGGAAATTTCATGAAGAGGTACTATAGAGGGTCGTTTTTCGATTTTTTCCGCAGTTTTCTCAGCAAATGTGAAAACTGGGAAAAAAATAGGGAAACCGGGAAAAACGAAGAAAAACCGAGAAATCGTAAAACAACAAACAAATATTATTGAAAAAATATATAGAGCCCATTTAATTATTTTATTATAATATAGCAAATATATTGATGACAAATCAACACTATCAACTTAATTCCGTTCAGAATCGTTTTTTCGTAAGCAATGGTTTTTCGTCGCTTACAGGTACACATTAAATTACCTATAACAGTGGCTGCACTCGTCCCCATTATCCTAGGACGTCTTTTTTTCTTTTTATCAATAATATTAAAGATTAAAATTGATTAGAATTGTTATGGACGATTGTTAATTGTATGAGTTTTAAATTTTTCGTCGAATATTTTTAAAGCCTACGGGCAATTCAGTACCGTTCAGTGCCTTAAGTAGATACCTGCTATAGTCACCATTTGAGTTCTAATATAAAAAATAAACTATACGTATGATATTTTTTTTTTTTTTTTTGATTTTTCATCAAAATGAAATATTTCATGCAACTTTCATGAAATATTTGAAAATAATTTAAGTTCAATAAAGTTTTAGAACCACAACGGTACATAATAACACAATAAATTTGGTATACACGCTATGCTAACGACTGTTATACAGGATCGGGTGCGTGCATATATGTTTATGCGGCCGAAATATGTCCGCCGAACCGGCGGCAGTTTTTTTTTTCGGTGATATTCGTGTTCTTGGGCGTCGGCACGATGACAGTATGCGTGTTCGCGTTATTCTTCCACTGGAAAACCGTGTCGTTGATACTTGCGGCGATGAGTTTCACCGGTTTGATAGCACTGTTCGTGTTGCCAGACTCGCCGGTGTGGCTCAGGGAACACGGCCACGTACTGGAGGCCGAGCGCGCGGAAAAATGGTACGGTTTGCCGCCGAGGACGTCGTCGGCGTCCACGGTCAACGACGCCAGCTGCGACAAAGATCGCGACTGTGACGCGGCCGCCGCCGCTGACCCGCGAGACACGTCTTCGTCGCCACCGACATGTTGGTCGTTGTACGCTCGCCGAACAGTGTGGGTGCCCACGTTGATCGCGCTGGGGTTCTTTGCGTGTCAGCAAGGCAGCGGACTGTACGTAATGCTCTCCTACTCGAACGACATACTCCGGAATTTCGGAATCCAGTGGGATAGCACCGTTATTACATTTTTAATGTCAATATCCCGGGCGGTCGGCAGTGTGGCGTACTCGCTAATGTACAGCGTCAAGCGCAAGACCATGGCCGCAGTATCTTTCGGCGGTATGACCGCGTCGTCGGCCGTCATTATTGCATACGTGAAAATGTTCCCGAACGCTGAACGACCATTCGGCAACCTCGTGTTGACCACCGCGTTCGTCACGTACATGTTCTTCACGCTAATGGGCGCGGTGCCGTTACCCTGGACACTGGGCAGTGAAATATTCCCGAGCAACGTCACAGGTACACAACATAATATTTCAGTTGGTTTATGTCGGTTTCTTTTTGCTCATACGTCTATTGGATTGAAACGCATTGGATAACGTCCGTCTATACTTAATTATAAACCAAGATTTTTCGTCCGGAATTTTCTTTGCGGCGGTATAGGTGATATTCTTTTATTAACTGTACCCGTTTTAATATAAACCAGTAATTCGACACGAATCCGAAACGATACAAATCGTGTAATTTTTCGTTGGAAAAATGATAAATTCCTAATTCCTAATAAAAAAAAAAAAAATACGTAGGCATATAATTTGAATATTAAAATGGCATTATTTTTAAAGAGTTATTAGGTGGACGGTACTTCATCCGCGCAATACATAAGTAGGTACCAACAATTTAATTAGATTTGAAAAAAAAAAAAAAAAAACAATAAATCATTTTAAACGTCTCAATGCGTTCGAAAAACGATTTCATTTTCTTTTTGCTTATGATCATTATTATATTGTCGGACGTATATCCAATTCGAAAACGTATTCGATCATCAACATATTAGATATTAGCTATAATAGGTTGGTTCTAACCTTTTGTGATCCGACTGGATACAAAAAAATAAAACATAAACATCAATTACTACACATAATCGGCAGCCAATGTCGCGTAAAATAGTTTACTTAAAAAAAAATAATAATTGTTTTTTTTTCTAGGCACTATGAATGGAATTGTACAGACCATTGCATGTCTCGCGATGTTTGCGATCATTAAATTGTATCCACTACTCGCGATCAATTATGGAGTAGAAAATGTTTGGTTTATATATACTGCCGTTTGTATAATAGGTGTACTTTTCAGTATTTACATTTTGCCAGAAACTAAAGGAACGCCCCTTAATGAAATTTTAGCGAGGTTTGAGTCTCACAAGAAAAATACCAAGATCATAAATCCATAATGTCGATGTTTTATTGTAAGTGTATAATATATAATACATACTAAGAAGCAATGCAACGTATTTATTTAACATATTTTATATTGTATTACCATTGTTTACCGAATTTTAATAAACAGTTTATTAATTGACAATTATCAACGTGCAATGTAACAAATATGTATTTTATTTCTACTCGGTACGTATAATAGGTTTATTACTGTAATTAGTATGGAATAAATGCATTTCTATCGGAACGTCCTAAGAATAATGTTTATGAAAAATATCGAGTGTGTAAGTGAATTTATGAATATTTCTCAAATTTTCTAAAATGTATTTCTTAAATTTCTAATGTTGTACAATCTTTTTTAGCTAGCATCCTGTCGCTCGTCAGTCCTTGGTTGTCTCACAGATGCGATGTAAGCAGATACAATTGTTAGGAGAAGAATCTCGGAAAATTTCGTCACCAGAATCGCCATTGTGACTCAGGGCACACGACCACGTACCGGTAACCGAGCGTGGTACGCTGCGTAATTTAATATGTCTATTTTTATTATAGCCAAATAAAAGTATTCATTCATTTCCTAAAAAATCGATATTTAATTGCATATTACAACATGATAATTATATCCGATTATAAATTAACCTAACCGAACCCAACCGCACTGAACTATAAAAATCATTTTAAATGCCATGATCAATCGTAATTATATTACCGATAAAACACTGTGCGCAGCTACCGTACACAGATAATCGTTATTACCTGCGTATTTATCCCACAATTCAACCAACTCGACACTTGATATTATTTATTCAAAGTTTAATTGACTTGTATTAATAAGGTATACTTTAAAATCTAAACTAATATTATAAAGATAAAAGATTTGTTTGTGTTTGTGAATGACGAACAAGCTCAACAACTGCATAACCGATTTTAAAACTTCTTTCATCGATAAAAAGCTATGCGATCAACGCGAATAATAAGGGCTGTATTTTAGTTTCGAAAATATTAGAGATCCCTACGAAAATCGCAACAATACAACCCAGAGTATCAAAAATAACGACCGAATAACGTGTACTACATGTTTATCGTACTTGTCCATATGCCCGCAACAAATGTGTGTTGTAATAATCAAAACGAACATATTTATTATTATTGTTATTGTTGTTTTCTATTATCTCTCTGGGTAATTGTAAAAAAAAGACAGACGAAGCCGTGATGGGGCGGCTATTAATTATTGTTATATAGGTAATAGACAATGATATTTCTCTATGTAATTATAAAAAAAACTGGTGAAGCTATACGCACAACAGCCATATGTAATATAAAACAACATGTCCTGACGGGTGTCCCGACAATTATTGAGAGCGCGGAAAATAAAGCTCGCGACAATTTAGCGCCACAGCAATTTAGTCGCGATGATAATTAAGCGCCGTGACGTTTGAGCGGAGTGCATAGTATAAATTAATTTGTATGTATAAAGTTAAATCGTATTTACCGATTTACGGTTTTCGCCGTTGTCAATATTATTTACATTTATCTTGCACCTAACCTAACGAAATCCGCAATACAATTATGATACTATTGTAATTCAATTGAAAATGATAAGCCAGGGATGAAAAATGCTATTAAATGATGGCACGATTTGTTTGAATCCATATTAAACGTTTTGCATCCGTCAATTTGGAAATTTATCGACGCTCTAAAAAAAGAAGAAAAATTAAATCGTATTAGAATACATCAGTTTATCGCAGGTAAATGAACCAAAACCTACAAAAAAAAAAAAGTACAAAGATTCAGCGTTAAGATTAAAGAATATTTTCCAACAATTTGATTCAAGGACGATAGACGATTTTTTTTTTTAAAAAGAATCGCGCAAAATATTTAACCGCAATATTGGGGGGAAAAAAAATATATTTTGACTTATTATAACATTATTAACGTTATTTAACTGTAATATTTAATTTTTTGCATTATTTGCCGAGTGTCGGGCCACAAATAATATATACATATTTAAAGGGTCCCTGGAAATTGGAATGTATAACACAAAAATATAAAATTTTAAATATAGTAAAATACAATATAAAATTAGTCAAATAATTGTTAATTTTTTTTTAAAAATAATGTGGTGCAGATTGTTTTGCACAGTATTTAAAAGTGCCGTCAACAATAACATGGAACGTGTATATAGTTTGCAACTGACTGCGATTACGATGCTTATAAATTTCGCTTTTAGCTACTTTTATCCATTTCATGTCATGATAACCGATAACCACAGTTGAACATTCTGATTACAGTATATCATTTAACCGGATAATATTGGACAATTTATTGCCTGTGGCCAAATCTAAAATTTATTAAAATATAGTGGCCCAACTATCGGATTCAATAATAAGAAATCGTTTGAAATAGTAGCCCAATCACCGGGTCTACCTGCTATAGATGTAAAATTTCGGGCATGGCCAAAATCGTACCTTTCCCTTTTCCACCGATTCAACTTTTCTGCCAAATGAAAACATTTAGTCTAATATTTGAATATTAATCGACAGTTGTATACATATTTATATAGGTTTTCCAATTAGAGCGGGCCGATCTTATCTGCGCTGTANTCGGTAAACGATCAGTTAACACCCGTACGTCAAAGAAACGCCAGATCGGTCCAGAATATCGCAGCGGTACGTGAAAGTGTGCAGGAGAACCCGAGGCAGTCAATTCCTCGCCGTGCACAAGAACTTGGACTTTCACAGTCTTTAACTTGGCGAATTTTGCGCCGGGACTTGGGCTTACACCCACATAAGATCCAACTGACCCAGGAGCTCAAAATTAATGACCATAGACAACGCCGATTGTTTGCTGATTGGGTTTCGGAGCGTTTGGAAGAGGACCCTAATTTTGGCCGAAAAGTCGTCTTTAGTGACGAAGCGCATTTCTGGATGAATGGCTATGTTAACAAGCAAAATTGCCGTATTTGGGACAATACCAACCCACACGAGGTTCANCCGGGACTTGGGCTTACACCCATATAAGATCCAACTGATCCAGGAGCTCAAAATTAATGACCATAGACAACGCCAATTGTTTGCTGACTGGGTTTTGGAGCGTTTGGAAGAGGACCCTAATTTTGGCTGAAAAATCGTCTTTAGTGAAGAAGGGCATTTTTGGATGAATGGCTATGTTAACAAGCAAAATTGCCGTATTTGGGACAATACCAACCCACATGAGGTTCTATAGGTAACAATGCATCCACAAAAAGTTACTGTTTGGTGCGGATTTTGGGCCGGTGGTATCATTGGTCCGTACTTTTTTGAAAATGACATTGGTGAGGCCATCACTGTCAATGGTGAGTGATACAGAACGATGATAACCGATTTTTTTTTCCCAAAATTAACGGTATGGACGTAGACGACATGTGGTTTCAGCAGGATGGCGCTGAATACNGCGGATTTTGGGCCGGCGGTATCATTGGTCCGTACTTTTTTGAAAATGACGTTGGTGAGGCCATCACCGTCAATGGTGAGCGATACAGAACGATGATAACCGATTTTGTTTTTCCCAAAATGAACGGTATGGACGTAGACGACATGTGGTTTCAGCAGTATGGCGCTATGTGCCATACATCCAACGCCACGATAGCCATTCTGAACGGCAAATTTGAGGGTATGGTTATCTCTCGCCGAGGAGACGTGAATTGGCCACCAAGATCGTGTGATTTGACCCCATTAGACTTTTTCTTGTGGGGTTCCTGAAGTCGCAGGTCTATGCCGATAAGCCGAAATCAACAGATGACCTTAAAGTGAACATAACACAGGCCATTGCTCAAATTCAACCGGATCTCTCGGATTCGTGCCACTATGAGAAGCCGTGGCGGGCATTTAAACGATATTAAATTCAAAACATAATTGGCATATTTAGAACTTTAAAATAAAAAAAAAATTTCACTAATACCTCGCACATAGCTTGTTTTATTTCATTTCAACATCGACCCGCTCTTATTGAAAAAACCTTTATTTACTTTTATTCTTTTAATTTTTTAGATACGACTTCGTAGAAAAAAATATCTTATAATTATTGTAAATAAGCATAAAATATATGGCATTTATATTTTTAATTTAATTTAATTTAATCACTCATGTACAACAATTTTCAATATTTTTTGTGAACATTTTGAAATTTATTTTATAACACAATAATAATAATTTATAACATAATCGTCCATTAAAATTCAAGTATCAGACTAAAATTGTTCATTTAGCGGAAAAAGGTACGATTTTAGCGGAAACGGGCCAAAATTTTAATGGGCCAATTACCGTGTACCTTTTTGAAAAGGGGGTTTATTGTGACCCAATTCTCGGATGCCCAAATATTTATCTTATGTGGATAGAATAGATAATATACATTTGTATAATATTATCTTTTTGTCTTATTTAAATAAACTAAACAGTTATTTTACTATCCAGATAATTAATTTGATTTTTGATTTTCGATGTTTGATATTCAGTAATATCGTCGAAATGCGAGTACCTAATTTTCAATTTTTAATTTAATATTAAAATATAATAACTTGTACTACTATATGTGTACTACTAGTCATGCGTGCCCGTCATGTATGACAGATTATAACGATCAATGAAATGTTCAAAATGGCTGGAATTGAATCCAAATGCTTCTAGATATTTTCGCAGTACAGACCTTAATACGAAAATAATAAAAATGTAGCATACAAGGGGTCAAAGGTTGTCGACGTTATCGTGCAAGTTCTGAGATTTGTCATAAAAACAACATACATATTAAAGGTACAAATGCAATAGAGTGGAACTTCTCCCACTAATTGGCCTTGATGTCCAAGTGTTTGTATGATATTTTGGGTACACACTAAAGATAAAATCGTATGCCACCATACAACACAACGTGATATAAAGAATAATCCGTACTTCAGTACACTCTTATAGAGAATAAATATATCAAGACCTGTGTTATCGGTGTTGTTCCGATCCAACTGTTCGAAACTATAATAATTGAGTAAGTAAAGAGTAGTATATTATTTTGAATAGAATGTTTATTTTGACTCTAGTATATTACATGTGAATATTTAAGAATAAAAAAAAACAAATAATGAAAAACTCCAAAGTATATCATCGACTGAAATATGTAAGTACAAATGAAAACTTATAATATTATTACATTTATATTTATGTTTATTTTAATATTATTATTATTATTATTATTATTGTTATTATTATTGTTGTTATTATTATCATTGTTATTATAATTATAGTTATTATAATTTTTATTATTTTTATTTTCATTTTCATTTTTTATATTTTAATCAAAATTGTCCCTTGTTTTTTTATTTAGATATTCGTATTATTAATTGTTTCCTATAATGATTTTTTTGTTGGGTGTTTAATGGTATTCTCGTCAATTTTATTCTCACAACTACGAGATCCTTCATCGCCAATAAAATTAAATGCTAACGAAGCATCTTGGATAGGTAAGCAAATTGATGAATATTATTATTTTTATTTTATCCGGTTTCCTCAGTTATTTAAGGTTGTCTTCCAGGCTATTTAAGGTTGTAAACCTCTACACACACATATCCAGACGTATAGGTACTCAAATTCAATATGTTGGAATCGTTGAATTAAAATTGCATGATGTTTTATTTTTTCAGCTAGCATTCCATCACTCATAAGTCCTCTTGGTTTGCTTATCATTGGAATATTAACCGATAAAATTGGTAGGAGAAAAGCGTTTCAAATTTCATTTATACCAATCATTGTAAGTTTTCTTATACTAGCGTATTCAAATACCTATGAAACAATTCTCATCGGAAGAACCGTTGGAGGTCTCATTTTTGGTAAGTTTATTTTCGCTTATTGGTTTAAATACAGGTGTAGTAAAAATTATATATTAATGTTAATAAATGGTTAATATATAATTTAGATAACAATTTATATTTATTAATTTTCGACAAAAGAAGCAAAATCTATAATATCTAAATAATTGTGACCCACGAACCCAGTTATTTTTGACTCCCGGCATACAAAACTACATTTTTTGGCATCAAAAAAAAAATTAAATATGTGAATAATCTAGTAATGAACCAAAGCTTGGACCACATTGATAACCAAAATACTTGTATAATATCAAAACTAGAATCCATTATAAAATAAAGAATTGCTTATATAATTGCTATATATCCATGCCTGCACCAACCACTCTTACATCCTACATCACTCTATATAGCCATCGTTGTCGAGACATTCCCCGTTGCCGTTTCCTGGATACGTTTTTTCGATCAACTCGGTTTCAATAAGATCGCCGTCCGTTCGTCACAGATTTTCGGTCCACTCAATCAGTTTGGTCAATATATATGGCATAAATTTAAAAAATTTCGTCTACAGGATCGTATTTAAGCGCAAGTATTTATATTGCGGGCTGTAGCCTATGGCGCCCACGCCAGAAAAGCTAATAATCCGGAAAAAAATAAGTATTTTTCTCCCATTCTATCCGTGCCTTTATTTGCTTGAATAATTGATTTATTTTGTAGATACAAGGTAACACAGTAGTGTATCGTATAGACATTCGTTTTTACCATAAGAAAAATCGAGTAACTGAAAGTAGCTCAAGTTTCAACACTAACATGTTCTGAGAGTGCGATTTCTTTTGACGGAATATTTGTATTATTTATTTTACAGGATCTGACTCTTGCAAATTTGTATATGCGTCGGAAATATGTACACCAGATCGACGGCAGCTCCTTTATTCCGTGATGTTCATGTTTGTGGGCTTCGGCATGATGACAGAAAGCATATTTGCAATGTTTCTGCACTGGCAAACCGTTTCATTGATACTCGCAGTGATGAGCGCCACCGGTGTGGTGGCACTGTTCGCAGTACCGGAGTCGCCTACATGGCTGAGGGCACATGGCCGCGTACAAGAAGCCGAGCGCGCGGAACAGTGGTTGGGATTAGAATCCGGGGCATCGGTGACCACGGTCGACAGTGATGAATTGAGCAATAATCACACTGGCGCCACTGCCAACCGGCAGGACGCGTCTCCATCATCACCGACGTGCTGGTCGTTGTACACCCGTCGAAGCGTATGGTTACCCATGTTGATAATGTTGGCGTTCTTCGCCTGCCAGGAGGGTAGTGGCCTGTACGTAATACTCTCTTACTCGGCCGACGTGCTACGGGACTTCAAGGTCCAGTGGAACGATACCATGGTCAATGCGTTCATCGCCTTGTCCCGAGTGATGGGCAGTGTGATGTTCACGCTAATGTACAATGTCAAACGCAGGACATTGGCTATCACTTCGTTCTCGGGCATGACCGTGTCACTGATAGTCATTTTCGCATATGGGAAAATATTCCCGAACACGGATAGGCCATTCGGTGACCTCGTATTAACTGCCGCATTCGTAATTTACATGTTCTTTACCCTGATAGGCGCAGTGCCATTACCCTGGACGCTGACCAGTGAAGTATTCCCCAGTGACGTCTCAGGTAGTTACGATGACGACTATTATTGGTTCATTCACCCTTTATGTAATGTTGCAACAAAATCGTTCCGTACTTTGACGATCGAAACTCTCGTGATCAGTTTATCACAAACGAGCACATTATACTTTAAATAACAAAGAGTAATTACTATGTCTTGATCGGATAATTTTTTTTTATAATATTAAAAAAAAACTCACCAATTTGCACGAATCAAGTTTAACGATTTTGTATCAATATATAGGTTATTTGATTTAATTTAAACCATTACTAAATTATAAAGAAATTAAATGTCCCTTTGCTCTAAACTCAATCGGAGATTCCACCGTGAAAGTGCGGAATGGTTTTGTTGCTATATGTATTGCACGCGAGACACAGGGAAATCAAATTTTATTGTAGTAGACCCTTAACATAATATTATATTGATGTGGCTATTCAATTGACTGTATCGATTTAGAACTAAGATTTCTGTCTAAATTATCGAATTGAATTTATGACTGTACGATTCGTATAATTTTTCGTAAACTAAATAAAAATACAATTAAAATTAATTTAATAAGTTTACTGTTAATCTTATAACAAACAATTTTTTAATGATAATTTTATTTTCAGGAACTATGAATGGTGTAGTACAAACAATTTCATTCATCATGATGTTTGCAGTCACTAAATTATATCCATCAATGGTTATGCATTTAGGGGTAGAAAATGTTTGGCTTATATTTACAATTGTTGCTATACTAGGTGTTCTTTTTAGTATTTTCATAATGCCAGAAACTAAAGGAGTACCTCTTAAAGATATTTTAGCGAAATTTGAGTCTCCGAAGAAAATAACACAAAACGTGTAAAATTATAATATTAATATACAGTATAATCTAATTTTTATTTTCTTCGATTTACGGTGTTTTTTCTTAGGACGGTAATATATATTTATGATCATCAGAAGTACTCTTTTTCGTAGGACAGTTCTTTTTTGATTCATTGTCCTATGTCCTTAGCAATAGTGTAGTGTTAAATACATAAAACTGTAATTTTTTTTTTTTTTTTTTGACAATTATAAATAATAAATAAATAAAATATAAATATGTAGGAAACAAAGTTTTGTATTTATTTATTTTTTTATATGTTTACCTTTAAAAATGTATACTATAGTTATACATGTATACTTTTAAGTTTACTAAAAATTACTTAAATTTCTAACTATTTTTATTGTAAAAACACAAACCACACGCGTTGACATTATGTTTTCAAATACATAATTAGTTTTTATAGTTGATCATAGAAAAAATAATAATAAAGTAATCAGATAAAAAAAACATATATAGATTATGATGAGCTATGGGCAAAATGGGTAGAATAGTATACACATTGGCCAATTCTTTTAAAGGAGGGTTATTTTTGATAATGGAGAACATATTATTTAAGGTGCATGGAGTAGGGGTAAAAAATTAAAAATGGTTTTATAATAAAACTTAAACGATTCCATAATGATTAGAAAATACAGGAATCATATTCATTTAAAATCCCCTGAGACAATTGCTGGTTTATGATAACGAAATCACCTTGTATGTATGGGAACACCACTATCCACCTACTTATCTTCAGCATTGAATATCGATAAAGTTGTAATTACTACATAAATACGTAAAACATTTTAATAATTATATAAAAAAAAAAAACACAGGTACATTTAAATGGCATTTTTTAAATAACATTTTTAATTATTTAATTATTATTTTATTATTGCACATACATTAAAAAATATTGATAATTGTATAAAAAGAAAATATGTTTTACCATACCTATACAATAAATAAAAGTGTACACAGTCCCAGTGCTAACTATTTTTATGAATGGGACAGCAACATGTTCGTTTAATCTATACCCCCACACATCCACGCACATACCAAAAATTATATTTTTTTATAAATAAAATCAATGGATTTATTTGCAAATGGGTTTTTGTATCTATAAAAAACTACTATGACAACTGGGGCACATTAAATTCCTTTCAAAATACAAAATTCTAGTTGTGCTTAGAGGTGTGAGTGAAGTTTCAAATGTGTTATTTTAATAAAAATTGGTGGGTGTGGGTGTAGATCAAACGAACATGTTGCTGTCCAAATATAAAAAATATTCCCGCCGCCACTTGGACTGTCTGCGCTTGTATTTATTATATAGGTATGGCTAAACATGTTTTCTTTTAATAAAATTGTAATTTTGTTTTTTTATCAACTATCTATAACTCTTCGATACTTAACATATGATGATACGACTAGACTAAGTACAATTTATATACATTATATTAACTATAGGTAATATAATAAACTATAAATCAAGACTTGGAGTATATAACATAACTTCATTAATTTTTTTTTCTGACCACTCACGGGTTTTGACCCACTCTACCCAATTTATATATGGAACACTTGACGCAAAAATTCGGCATCAGGCCGCCACTAAACAGTCCTAAGTCTGTTGTAAACAGGAAGGAAAATGTTTGAATATTCCAGTCAGTATGGAAACCAATAATTAAGTGACCGTAATTCGTAGGTAACTAGTAGATATGTATTTTTTTTTTTTTTTTGATTTTGACCGCAACTAGTAAACACCGATAGGTATATGCCATTTTATTTTTATAAGCAACAATTTATTTTTACGTACAATTCCTTAAGCACATTTTCCATAATATTTAGAAGTAATGTATAATAGTTACATTATTTCATGACACAATCTAATGACAATTTTCAGAAGAAACCGTTAAAAATGAAATTCAAGGGAATAGTTAAAATTAGTCATGATAACGGTCAAAAAATTTGACTATGTATAGGTATGTATAATATGTATTTATACGAACATAAATAAATTTCAAAACGAGTTGTTTTATTATTTTAAAATTAAATTTACGTTGCATTCAAAAAAATCTGCTATCTTAGTTTTTATGAAAATTAAGCAAATTTTTCCAATATAACCAAAAATAACTGTCATAACATTCATATAATGGTCTAGAACACCTCTACGTAACCGTCTGCAAACTCTCCACTGTACCGGCTACCAACTTGCCGTTACATTCATTTTTGCTGCAAGACATTTTTTTTCGTTTAAAATCTAACACTATAATTCGGTTGCTTTTCAAAGCACGCGGGTGAGATCTTCACTAGTATATTAAGATCTGTTAGGAACATTTCATATTAAAAATACCCCCCTAACCTTCTGATTTTCCAATAGAGTATATTTTGGCGGGATTTGATGATAGGAAAGTGGTTTTATTACTAACAAATTTGGCTTGGCACCCCACAAAAGTCCCCTCCAAAGTTTGACACCATAAAATCACTTTCAAGGGAACTAGCCTGAAATTCGTCCGTTCACTGTCAAACTTTGGAAATGGTCCCTAGGGCACCTCTAGTCCACCCTTCCCATTGATACTAATTTTGGTGAATGTGGACTAGAGGTGCCCCAGAGACCATTTCTAAGTTTGGCAGTGAACGGGCGAATTTCAGGCCAGTTCCCTAGGGTACTTTTAATATGAAATGCCCCTAACAGACCTATATAATATATTAGTGAAGATCTCAACCACGTGCCTTGAAAAACAACCGAGTTATGACATTAGGTTTTAAACGAAAAAAAAAGGTCTCGCGGTGAAAATTAATACAACGGCGAGTCGGTACAATGGTAAGTTGGCCGCGGCAAGACAGTCGAGTCCATCTGTATAGTCATTATACAGACGTCATAATAATCGATACAAAATTGGTAAATACAATATAGGTGCAATATCCCTTCAATCTAAGGTCATTAAACCCGATATGACACTACTTTTCGGTGTCATTATAAACGGTATCTATTGTACCTATATATAAGTTATGACGGATTTAACAATTTATTTTATGAATCATCATCGTCCTCGTCCAAATTAAACTATAAATAAATTATAGGGGTACAATCATGACGATTTGTTTTGACTAGACAGGCGGGCGATTAACAATTTGTATTTCGTTAACTGTTCATATTTTATGGATGTCTGAAACTTGTATAGATTACGGGAATATGAAATTATTACAAATTAATTTAGCTAGGTCCATTTTTTATGGCTCATGGAACTTGAATTTTAAGATTTTTTTGACTTTCTAATCAAATTCAATGAACTAGTTATTACCTAAATAAAATTGAAACCAAAATATTGTCAACTGACAAATATAGGTATCAGTTCCATTTGCGATTTAAAAGAAAAAATAATTAAAAAAGGGTTCCGGTTAAATATTTAGTTCTAAGCTCTGTTCAATGTTAAATTAAAATTTGATATTGTCTTGACTTTTACTATAAGTTATCCTTATGTATTTATACCATGGTTGTCTATAACCGTAGTTTATACGGATGAAAACATTGGTGCACACTGAACGTAATAATAATATAATCAATAACATAATAATATTATACACACTGGAAACGATCTTTAAGACATGTAAGTTAGGAGTAAATAATTGACCCATAATTGGAGCGGTAACAAATGTATGAAAATACAAAAAATATTTAAATATTATAAAAATTACATTTATTTCTAATTGTAACATTGTCAATAGTATTTATTGTATTTACTAATTTCTTTTATATATTATATAAACATACGTAATATTATTAATTTACATTATAACATAATAATATCGTTGTAATCAAAGTTTTTACATTCACTTCCGCACAGTACAATAATAGATGTAAAATGTGTGTCAAGACAAACGGATCGCTAGAACACATTATTTAATTTATTAATAAAAATAATATGAAGGTTTAACGTGCATTTTGGATACGCAAAAGAAAAAAAATAATCTACTATTATATAAAGACTAGATCAGTATTTTAAAATGTTTCACTTTCTTTTAATTATACAAACACATATAAATGATATATTTATTTTATAAAGGTATATAGGTATACATAATATTACATTTATATAAATTATTATTTTTATATACTCTTACATACATTGCTATGATGACGTATCCATACAGCAATATAATTTTTAAGGCCTACCAGTGGACAAAATCATTTCAGTCTTTTCAATTTTTTTTTTTTTTTTTTAATAACAACTTTTTGAATAATTGAATTAAATATTACGTTGATCAAAGACCGCACTTATACAATAGTCTCCCCACTCGATTCGTTTTTACGATAAACGTGTCAAACGTAAAAGAAATATTGAGAGGGTGGGATGGAGTTGATGAAAATAATGTACACATATATTATATAGTATTATTATAAATAATAAAAAAAATTTTAAAAATTTGCACTTATAAATATAAGGAGGGGTATAAGTAATTATTGTGGTGCATCATACAGGTATGGTAAATATTAACAAATTATTGAGCAACAAAATAAGGGCAGTTTTTTTTTTATAAATAGAAATAAGAAAAAGCGACAAAATAAAACGTACACACACAAACACAAAAAGAGAATACGCACGGACATAAAATTAAAATAGGTGAATAAAAAATATAAAAAAGAAAAAACATTAGATAGGTATACTTATTGTGTACAGAATATCGCTAATGGGCATTTCTATCAATGAATAAATAATTAAAACACATTTAAGTAGAAAGAGATTAAATATACTTGATCAGATGCATAAATATAAGGTAATAAATTAAAGTGTCAACTAAACTGTCTAAAATAAAATAACATTTATGACTTGTATCACATGAATATACACAAGACAAATTGGTCAAAAACCACTGTAGAAAAGTATTAACATAAATAATACATTGTTCAGAATAACAGTTATAAGTAAAAAAAAATATAATATATGTTGTTACTTTATTATCTATTTTTCGGAGAACTTCCTTCTAATATTATGTGCAGTTGATTTATGGAATGGCATGATGGAATGTGGAGAGTACCAAATAATTTAGAACTTCATAATAATTAATCAAAACATTGTGAAGGTCAGACAGTCATTCTCGTTGCATAAATATATAGAAATAATTTTGACAAAAAATAGATATTTATCTATAATATGCTTTACCTAAGGCAATCGTACAATTTGGAATGGTTGTGTTTCTTTAAAAAATTCCTTTTCCATAATTTTTATCCAAATAAAATTTAAATAGTAAATTCATCAAATAGTTAACCAATGAATGCAATGAAAAATAAAATCCTGGCATTATTATTAACACTGTGCCACGAAAAAATAAAATGTATTTAAAGCAATGATCTGTAATGAATGACATTTATTTTTATGTTTGCTCATAGAATCTAATTTCACTTAAAAATCAAAACCAATTAAATATCAGAATAATAATTCTACCTACATATTATGAAAAAAATTAAACTATTCCATAAAAATCTTAACGATTGATAATAAGATTAGCAAAAGTAATATCAACTTTCTACATTTTTAATTTCAATCAGTGATATTAAGTTTTTAAAACTGTCAACATTAAATTTTGACCAAATCATACACACGCACACACACACAAACACACACATATATATATATTAAATATGTATGTAAATCTATATAGCAATGAATAATATTAATAAATATTAAGTATGTAAATTCCTTTTTAGTTTTTTATATATAATAAGAGAATATTATATCTGTACAGTCATAATGGTATGGTAAATAATAATAAATAAGATTGTATATAAAATATATGTATGCGTGTATACATATATAATATTATGTGGTTAAGGAATGTGACACAATGCACGGTACCCATATAATGTGATAGTGAAAGACGCTTTATCTCTGTATGACGGTCAATATGTCTTTCAGGGTGGTGTCCAATGTTTGGAATATAGTTGAATGGTCAGTTTGCTGGCGCCCACCTCCAGCGGACCGCATCTGTCGGGATTGAGACTCCAACTTGTTAAGCAGCTCACGTAGATGGAACCTCAGGTTGGGTGGCGCTGCTGTGTCTGCATAATTCAAGCACGAAGAGTGAAAACCACCCACTTTGTCAGACAATGACAACCAGCCAGCCGACGTGACAACGGGTGCTGCACGCAGAGTACGTAAATTGGCGTCCACGGTCTGCCACTGTTCAACGATGGTAGATGGAGCCACAGCACCTGGCGTGGCATATATTGCATTTGATTTATTAGCCACCGCTGTCGCTGAAGACTTAGTGGCCGCTGCTGCCACCGCCATGGAAGGTTTCACGGGCACAGCTGGTCTGTTATCGTCGTGAGGTGGTGGCCATATGCGTCTCTCCTTCAAGGTTGTGTTAGCCGCAACCACTTCAGATGGAGGACTTTCTCCCTCCCAAAGTTTCTTTAGACTGCTTATGCTACCAGTGCTCCGCCTCTTGTCGTCGGCACCTACTTCACCATCACCACAGGTGGACTCTGCAGGCGGGTTGTTTTCACCACAGTCTTTCCTATCATCAATTTTCACCTTTTTCAACTGTGATTTAATCTCAGCTATGTTGTTATCAATACGCTGCAACTGATGCTGTGATTGCTGCTGATGTTGTTGTTGATAATGGAGGTGGTATTGCTGATCATGATCGTCCTTACTGATCTTTCTCAGGCTTGTTTTAAAGTCAACTGGAGATAAAGAACGTTGCTGTTCCTCCTTGCTAGCACCACCACTAGTCATCACTTTCTTATCAGCTCCACCCGCAGAGTGGTGTTTCAGTTCCATCATTTCTTTCATGATATCTGGCACAAGACTTTTCACATCTCTGGAGGTACCATCTTCATCTGATGACGGTGATACTTCAGCAACATTCTTCTTTGACATAACAGGAGATGGTTCGATGACTGGTTTATTGTTATCTGTCTGAACTTTATCCTTACGTACACACTTCAACCTGGCAGGTTCCGATTTAGCGCTGTTACAGGAATCGGTAGATGGTTCTCTATGTCTGAGACTCACTCCAAACCTGAAGGTGGACATTTCTTCATGATCCAAATCTTCAGGAGGAGGAGGAGGTGGGAATTCTAGATCCGCAAGGTTTGGAGGTGGTGGTTGAGCACGTAGTGTTCTTGGAGAAGAAGGCTGAAAATTTGTTGAAGAGTTACTCCTAGTCATATTTCCTGGTTGCTGAAATGGACGACGTAATGGGACATTAGTACGGTGATTGGCAGGGGGTTTGGTTATGTTTGTCTCGCTAGATTCTCCGTTTCCGTGTCTCAGAGATTCTAAGTAGGCACCAATACGAGCCCCTTTTGGTAATGTACCATAACGATTAATGGCTCGTTTCACATTTTGTACTTCTAACGCGGCAACCTTGGGTGTATCTAAATTGTTAGTATCTCTTTGGTAAAGTGGATGAGATGCTTGATGTTTGGATGTTTTTTTTGTAAGAGAACCACGGTGAACTCGATTCAAAGGTGGTATATGGGAACACTCATTTTCAGTTTCTGCTGGTTCAGCACTTTCCTCGCTGGCACCATCACTATCAGCCAGACTGTTAACTACATTAAGTAACTCTTTAGTAATTCCTGCAACATAAATAATTTTTTGTTATTAAATATTAACAAAAAATTTGTATTAAAAATATATATTTGATTAAACATTTTAACTAGTCTATATTATTAAACTCCTCATACTCATGATATGTGTAACTCTTTTACATATCTGAACTAATAAAATACAGTTTTGATATTTGTGTTGTCGTGTACACAAGTATACAATAACAAAATTTAAACAATTTTATTCCTTATTAACCTTAGAAATATTCCAAATAAAAATAAAATAAAAATCATAGATAATATAATTCATATAAATTTAACACAGTCAATATTGTTTAAAGACGTTATCTATTTTGTTTTAGATTTTGAATGCAACACAGCAAATGTATTAAGTTCTGTCTGATTTTTTTTTTTTTTTTTTTTTGTAAGAGTGTAAACAAATTTTTTACTAGAAATCTTGCTTCCATTAAAAAGTCAAGTCTTAATTCATTTTTGTAGAAAAAGCATTTAATTTGTTGATCTCATTGATCTTTTAAAGTAAAAGTTAATTTTACAAATCAAGTAAATTAATTTGGTACCATTATCATTATTCAAGGGAAGCTGCATGAAATTATGAGGAGACAATCCTCCTTTTAGCCTCAAACTATTGAGTACCTATATAGTACCTATATATATATAGTACCTATATAAGTCCCCAATGAGCATTAACAAGTTAAAAAGTTAATTTTGTTTTAACTTAACTAGTTACCTTTGGATTTTGAAAAATGTGTATTAACTTTTAACTTAATTGAGTTGACCAAAAATTAACTTTTAACTTTAAACTTTTTCTTATTGATGCATATTAACTTAAGTGAGTTAAAAAAGATCCTTAACTTACCTAACTTTGGCAATAATAGAAAAAATTTACTCTTAGAAAAGATGCTGTGCTATTACAATATTTGTACAATTAATGATCGGACCAAGATTCCAAGTAGAAAAATTGTTCACAGTCAAAGTTAGAAGGTAGGATACAAATTTTATTTAATTTCTACATGTATATAATTTAGTCATTTTATAGAAATGGATAATAATTTAAATACCTATAGTTTAGACTTTTAATCTATGGACTATTCAATAACAGTAGGATAGTTATAATAATAATCCAAATTGTAATTTTTTATCAAAATAAATATGCGATAACAATGCAATCTTTTTTTTTTTTTATTATTTTATATACGAAATATACAATCTGTTCCTTGAGGAACAATAAGAATATGTGGTAAATGAAAAAAAAAATAAAAACATGAATGAATTTATGAGAGGAGTCACCCAGTGGTAACAGTACCCTAACTTGAAGGGTCAATGCAATCTACAACCAGCTATAATGAGTGGTTATAAACAGTGGCTAGAATTCACTTAATTGTACCACACTAATGATTATTTACGCCTAACAAAATAATATTGAGCAGCAACTACAAAACACTTAATAAATAACTAGTATTAATATAATATTGCATTTGTTGCATACATAAAATATTGTATCCTTCAAAAAGCATCACAGGTAAACTAGTTTTCAATTAAAACAACAAATTGTTTCTTTCAGATTTTAAATTTATATTTTCCTTCAAACATAAGGTAAATAATAACAAACCATTTGCTGTGAAGTTGTCTTCAGAAAAATGTTGAGGAGGAAGTGACATGGCTGCATCATTTTGATCAGTCATAACTGGACCACCATAATGTGAATCCCTAAATGAACTGCATGATGACAATAAACTGAAAACATTAATCGTTACTAAGGTTAATTAAAGAAAATAATAATAACAAAAAAAAATTGTTAACTACCTTGTACGTTTTGGTGGGGCTGGTGCCGTTTTACCGCGTTTATTTGTTGGACGGCGCAATTGAACAAGACTTCCTTTAACGACTGGCCCACCAAAAGTAGACAGGTTACGTTCAACTTGTGTAATTCCTTCTAAAAATTTCATTTTGTTTATTTAAAAATTATTTTCAATTGTTTTTAATTAATAATTTAAAATCATAAAAAGTTACCATTTAACTCTAAAGAAGTTCCTATAATATTGGAATTATTTGTATGCAACTTTTTATGAGATAACTGAGGGGTTGTGCTTCCTTGCAACTGTTTTTCTACTTCTGTAAAATAAACATAACATATTTGTTATTAAAAAAAGTGTATACATATTTACAATAAATTAATTTTGCCTTCAATAATATTGGATTCTTGGAACATATTTTCCAAAGCATGGTGAATTTCTTTAAAGGATGGCCTTTCATTAGGAGCCCACTGCCAACATTGTTTCATTAGCTGATAGATATTTGGTGGACACCCAGGAGGACAATCCATTCTGAAAATAAAATATTTCATTATAATTTTGTTTTTATCTAAGCGTGAAAGAAACATAGTATATTCAAGTAATTTTTTACATGAAACCTTGGTTTTTATTATCAAATACACTAGGTAGAGAATACAATAAACGTATTTAATAAATTCTAAAATTACCTACACAACAACTTTTAGTAAACTTATACTGGAGATATTTGCTATTTTAAATAATTGTATAAACAGAGAAATGTAATTTGTAAAAGGTATTAAATGCATTTCATGAGTAATATTGTTATTATTATCTAAAAATGAATTAATGTTGTGGTTCTAGCAAAATATAATTTTTTTATATATATATAAATAAAATCTTTAATTTTAATTAAGAAAAATGAATGGTCACATCATTTTAGATTATCATACCTATATCCTTTTTCTAGCATATGATAAACATCAGTTAGATCAACTCCAGGATATGGTGACATACCATAAGTAGCAATTTCCCACAAAAGAACTCCAAATGCCCAAACATCAGACTAAAACGAGAAAAATTTGTATAGTAATAAAGTCAATAAAATAAACTATAATACATACTTTAGTAGAAAATTTATTATATGCTAAGCCTTCAGGAGCAGTCCATTTTATAGGAAATTTAGCCCCGGCATGGGCAGTATATGTATCATCACGCATTAATCGCGCCAAACCAAAATCAGCAACTTTGACAAGATGATTTTCTCCAACAAGACAGTTACGCGCAGCCAAATCTCTATAAAAAAAATAATTAACAATCATCTAATACAATTGTGTACACAAACATTACCTGTGAATAAACATGCGGCTTTCTAAATAACTCATTGCACTAGCTATTTGGGTAGCCATGTACATAAGCACAACTGCATTAATATTTTCTCGATTTCCCTGTCGTAAATAATCTAAAAGATTTCCTTTACTCATAAATTCTGTTATTATGTAAAATGGTGGTTCTCTAGTACAAACACCTAAACAAATGTTAAATAAAAAAATGATAATGTAGCAAATTTGAATAGTAAATTTTAGTGAAACATTACTCTACTGTACCTAACAATTGAACTAAATTTGGATGTTTCATTTCTTTCATAATAGCAGCTTCTTCTAAAAAATCTTTGAGAGCCATAGTGTCTTCCTGCAATATTAAATAGTGTATTAATATAAATATTTTGATACCTAGACAAATAATGAATTTAACTATTGATATATTTTACTTTCAAAGTTTTTACTGCTACAGTCATATTGTATCGTTTCCATACAGCTTCATAAACATCGCCATATTGACCTCCACCAAGTTTATGTCTCATAACAATATCTGTTCGGTTAATTTCCCATTCGTCTGGCTCAGGACTAAGAGCAAACACTGTAGGCTTGTTATGTTTAGGTGCTGGATACAATAGTTGTGTGATAAGGCCATCGGAATGCATTGAATGATGATGAACCAATTCAGCAAGAGTATTAAAACGACTTTCAGTTGTCACATATACCTAAATACATAAAATTAGATAAATTGTTATAAATACCATACTCAATATAAACATTATTACTTTTCCGTCGGAAGTGTCTTCATTTATACGATAATGATAGACTCGTCCTTCATATCTCAATGAAATAGACCTTTGACCAGGAGAACTTTCACTCTCCCGAACTAAAAAACTACCATTAATTCCAGAACTAAGCAAATATTCAGCAGCATTTCGTGAAATTGGACCATGATACCAAGAATGTTTCTCCAATGAATTTACAGGTGTCACATAATTTGATGGTACCCAGCCAACTTGTCCTGGTGATGCATGTGCTTCACACCATTCACCACTTTTATTATAGGATAAAATACGAACTTGTTCACCTATAGATATGACATTTTTTATGATTAAAAATAATAAACAATATAAATTAATTAATAACTTTATTATTTTAATACTATTTGTAATTAAATAATAAATCAGTAATTTATTAGCAATAACCTTTTTTAAGACTAAGTTGATTATCACCACCGGCTTGAAAATCATATAAAGCAACAAACAATTGAGGATCATCATCCTCTTGCGATTGCAACAAATTTTCTTTTGATGTCCATCTAATAGAAGATTCTAAGTTGCTTGAAATTGTTCCCCCAACAGAACCACCAGAGCTTCCACCACCTGAAGGAATGGTTCCAGGGGGATCACCATCAGGAAGATCTGGTATATGAGGTAAAGGCCGACTTTGCAATAATGCCTCTGTAAAATTAATGTAAATTAGCTTTTACACATTATACATTATTATGTGAACCTAATTATGACTATCTAACTAATAATCACTTAACTTATAAAAATAAAAATAAATTTTATATTTCAGTCAATCATTAGAAACAAAAAGAATGAACAGATTACCTACTAAATTATGCAACTATTGCATACCTATGCAACCTATAAATTGAATCTAAAAAAAAAAAATAATTTTTTTTATAATATGATTTTGTGATATATTTTATTCAAAATAATTTAAAAGGAAATAAAATACTACAATGATTGTGTAACATGTTTATATGCATTGTTCACTTCAAAATATAAGTACTTAAAACATTTTAATAAATTACCAACACACAACAACAACAAATAGTACTTTTTTTAAACAATTGAACACATTTGTTGGGTCACTTATAAAATAATTTCAAATAGGTATTAAACATTAAACAGTACATCAGTTTATTTCAATATTCCTTATACATAATTAAATTATATTTATTTTCGAAATTTCCTTAAGAACCTATATTTTTTCTCATAAGATGATTAAGAGATAAAACATGTATTTTTTAAAAACCTAATATTACTTATATTAGATGATTAAATTCCTTCCAATCCCCAATTATGATTCAAAACGTGCTTAAAAATGGTTTTAAGAACTTGCATTATTTCTAAATAATAAACTCGCAAGTCAAACAAAGAAACATAGTTCTTCAATACAAAAATGACAGGCATCTTAAACTTAACTATATGAACATATAGTTGTCTTAGGTACCCCACTATCTAATATAATTAGTGTAATTATGTAATTATTGTTCAATGTAACTTTAATATTATTAAGTACTAACATAATATCTATATAACTAATAATTAGTAGGTACATAATATATTTCAGATTAAAATTAAGAACTTAGCAATACTCTGTTTCTATAATATTGGGTTCCCATAAGGCATCTACACAAAAATTAACTTAGATATTTAAATAATTTAAACTATAAGTAAGATGATTGTTAATTTAAAATGTTTCTCCTAAATAAGTATACTCGAGCTAAATAAAATAAAAAACCAAATTAAATAAATGTTATACAAAAATAACTACCTTACCATTGACCCTTTTAACTTTTAAAAAATAATATTTAACAGAATTTAAATGAACACAAGAACTATATTATATTAAAATATAATTAAATTAATAAAAAAAATCATCAATCTGAAGTAACTTTTAAATACATAAGTAGGTACCTAAGCTATAGATACTTACCACCTATAACAATTGAAAATATCCATTATAGGTACCAATATAATTAGATTAATAACTAAAATTGAACCACTTCATAATTATAACCAATAATAGTAAATACTTAATTTAGTAGAAATATGAATTATTTTATTAACTATGCATTAATGGTATAGGCATACAAGGTTATATGATCTTAGGTAAGTCCAAAAATAAGTCTAGTACACGTGGAGTATACCTAATCGTTTTATTTATAGTAGTTATAACTGTAATTACTTGAAATAAAAAATTAAACTGCAGATCATCTAATTCTATACCTAAATTTAATTATGTATTTATACAGCTCTCAGCAAAACAAAATTATAAATTTCTGTAGATATTAGGTTGGTACTAATTGAAGGGGTCCAAGCAATAATGAGACAAATCCACTTTTTATAACTTTTCAGGAGACAGAAATGTTTTAAAAATATTGTGTTTACGATAAAATTAACTTTAAAGTCAATTTAGATACATTAGACCATAATAAAGAAGATTGTGTAGTATTTGATTTGATTTTCAAAATTACTATGAGATGAGGGCTAATATTAACCTACATTTTATAGAATTATCTGGGTTTCTGACTAGAATTTTTTCATCAATTGTTTTAATACCAAAAGACAGAAACAAAAAATTCCAGACAACAACTTTTTCATCGTATCTCCTATATGGATAGTCGGATTTACCTTGTTCTTATACAGATATATTCATAATTTTTTTCTCAACTTTAATCAGCCAAAATCTCACTTTTGAAAAAAATGAAGTTGTCTCATTATTGCATGAACCCCTTCAATTACAAAAAAAAAAAATCACCTTTATTAATTTATGAAAAATCGATTTGATCCCAATCTGTTTGTTAACTTTTGACACAAAGTAGTACACCTCAACAATTAGGTAGTTATAAAATATCAATAATAATAAAATGATTAACAAGGCAATAATATAAAGCAGTCATACAGTGAAAGTGATTGTAAAGAAATATTGATTAGTTACCCACTAAAAGACCATTAAATAATTACTGAATTGTTTATAATAAACAAATTTATCTAATAAAAATAATAATAGGTAAAACCATAACATAAGTCATTTAAATCAAAATATTATACCAAATTATATTCATAAATGGATTATCTAAATGTATGACATGACAATCACTTTTCAAATTATAATTAGATAGGAATTAATTTTAGATTAATTAGGTAAATGAAACATACATTTACAGGTTTTTATATTATTAGCTACTTATAGGATTCATACGATTCATTGAAAATAAAAGAGAGTACGTATTTAATTTGGTTACCTATTCCAAAATAAAACTACACATAATTGTAAAATTAATTTTGATATAAACAACACAACCAATGTTTATATTTTGTTTAGCAATATACAAACTCAACATCAATTTATTTTCATTATTGACAATTATTATGCATCTAGTCGTTGGTGTCATAATATTATTTTGTAACGCAATATTGTAGATTTATGATGGACATAGGGATAAATATAAACAATTAAATACATGAATCACATCAGGCAATAATGGCAAAAACATACCACTATGTTCGGTGAATATGTTTAATCCTTGGTTCTTGCCGTCCTTGACGTTTGAAAACCGCGGTTTGGATCTGATGCTGCGTACAGTCAGCGATCCCGACGTCAGGGCGCGATCCTTGGTCTGCTGCGCGCCCATTATTAGAGACCATTACCCGAACGACAGTGTTCAAACCACGACAGTGGCGGATAAACATAAGGGAAAACCTCCGAAATTACGAAAACAACAGAGTCTCAACATCGATGGGGCCGAACGCATGGTGCACGCAATCGGAATATGACACAAGAGGCGGCCACCGATTGTGCTTTTATTGAACTTCCGCGATTATGGAAAACAAATTTACAGGACAGCGATGGGAAACTCAACTAGAAATCCAATGGGTACGATACGATACGTACATGTATGATAATTGCCACTGTATATACTACGGTACGATGTGTATAATAATTTTCTTCTCCAGTTTCTTCGCTTATCGTTTATCACTATAAATACTGCACACCGTATACTCCAAGTTTTCATTTACCCTGGTATATTATTGATAACCACTGATAAACATTATCAGCCAATGCACTTGATTCAATTTGGGCTTTTCAGCTAAAATATTTCGAAATAGTACGCAATATTTGAATTCGGTAGTAAATATATTAAAATAATATACTACCTACTTACTTAACACTACATACGCCCAAGTTTAATTCTCTGAAAGAATCACTGACTTTGTGTAAAACATAAATATCTTCGAGGAAAATTCAACAGTAATATGGTGAGTTACATTTGGTTTTTGTCAGTACATAATTATTTTTATGAGGGCCCAAATTATTTAACTTTTGTTTCAGTTGTTTTCACCAGTTAGAAAGATATTGACCTTTCAATATAGACTGGTTTGTTGCACAGCAATAAAATCTGATAGCCTGTTACATCCAACCATCAGTAACTTGACAGTTCCTAAACGGCATGTCTTTATGAAATTCATTGGTATTGAAACTAAAACGAAGCTGTATGATTTTGTCAACAGACTAAAAATATTAAATCCATTAAATAAAAGTGTAAATATATTTATTATACCCTAATACTTCTATAGTTTATAATTATATTACAAAACAAATTTATTTTATTAAATTACACAACTACAAAAAAAGTCAATATTTTTTTTAAGTATTAATTAAAAAGTATTATAACTTTTGGATATTTTATAGAGGTTTCAAGCCAATAGTTGGATATTGTATGAAAAGTTGATTGATCAAATTCCATTTAATGACATTATAAAAAGTAAGTCAAAATATATTTCCTTTATTTGTATAAAGAATATCTGATTAAATTATCTGTATTTGTTTCAGAACTCAACTTACCTGATACATTTAATTCTTGGTTTATAATAACAGAACTTCACTTATGGATGATATTTGTTCGTATAATGAATGAAGGTACCCAAGGTTCATTGATTAGAAATCATATTGTGGAAGCATTATGGAATGATGTAGAGTTTCGATCTAAAAAATTAGGAAGTGTAAGATTTTTAAGATACCAATTGCTTTTTAATAGCTAATATATTATATTTATTAACAAAAAGATAATAAGTAGTTTAAAAATACATTAACAAATGAGATCTGTAAATATCTAATGTATTATTTTTACATGATATACCTAGTTTACTTATATAATTTTATAATATTTTTAGATAAATCCAGACATTCGTAATACTCAAATAAAAGAATTAAATGAACAATTTCAAGGAGCTTTAATAGGTTATGATGAGGGATGGCTCACTAATGATAAGGTTTTAGCTGGCATGGTATGGCGTAGAGTATTCAACCAAAACTGTGATGACCCAGAAAAAATTGAAATAGTAGTGAAATACATTAGGAAACAGGTAATGAAAACCATATTTATGTAGTACATTCAAATGGTAACTTGAATTGATCAGTATTTTATTTATTTCAACAGATGTCCATTCTTCAGTTGCAAACATTTCACAGTGTGTTTATAGATAAAAATGTCAATTGGATAAAATTATAACAGATAATAACAAATAGTATAAAATGAAAAACAATGTATATATTATATTATATAATATTTAACTTAACAAAATTATAAATTAGATTTTTTTCTTTTTACATCAATATGTTATTTTTACATTTAGAAGAATTCAATTTTATCTAAAGTGCTATCTGAAATATTCATATTTTCTGGATTAACTACTTTGTTAGAATCACTAGGTGTACTACCAACTTCTAACTGTAAGCTAGCACACAAATTGGCTGATAAAACTTGTTCTGTATCTTCCATTGTGTTATCATTTTGAAACTCTCTTAACTCACTAGAATCTAATTGGTCTAGACTTGAGAATGTATCCATAAAAATAGGTTCATTGTTGTCTTCTGTTGGACAAGGTAAACTATTTGTTATAACTGTTAATGGAGCACTATTTGTTTGCGATGATATACTTTGACTTTTATGTGGAGAACCAACTTCTGTAATAATACAACCACTCATTGAACCACAGTTTGTTGAAGTTCCTAAACAAATAAATAACATTGATAACTTGATTTTTCCATTAAAAATATGTGTGTGTGTGTGTGTAATATTACATTGTTACTAATTAAAGAATTTTGAACCAATTATATAACCATTTATGAAATACATAATTAGATAAAATTAAGAAATAAATACTAAATAAAACTAAAACTAATATAAATATAAAATATAATTTATATAACCTATACAAATCAGATTTTAAATTTTCAAAATAAAATATTCCAAGAATCGAAATATAGTGTGTGTTTATTATACAGGTAATTCAAAAAAATATACTAACATACTTTGCACAATGGGTGGGTCACTATTGTAGATAAGAAGTTGGGAAGGTAAAATATAGAGGGGAATTTAATGTATATCTGTACGAAAGAATTAATATTTGCTACTAAAAAACAATTCTGAGTGGACTTCAACTAAATGTTTTGAAAGGCCGTAATATTTTACTACGATTTAAAAATAATATATTTTCATAAATATTAGTTTTTTTTTTTATTACTTATGAAACCAGCTCAGAAAATCAAAAAAAAACTCACCTTCCTAAAAGTACCACCTCAGTCAGATTTCTTTTCAGAAAGTGCTATACTTGAAAATCTGAGCAAAATTTTTGATAGAAAAGTTGTCCACAGAAAAAAAAAAATAAATATGTAAAACCAACACATTGTTCGATTCGTTCAGAATCTAAAAAAGAGATCAAATATAATTTGTTGAGATTTATCTACCTTCATCTGGATAATTTGTGATCGGCCATTCTCATTCTAAATTTTCACTTGACCTGATCTACCTTGCATACTGCAGCTGTCACATCATTTTCAATAGCACCCAACCATCTCTTTTTCAGTTTTCCTCCTACATTTATTTTCATTACAATTTTCAATGCTTCAGATTCATTTCTGCTTGTGACATACCCATTTATGGTTACCCATAAGCTCAAGATATAACAATATAAAATAAATATTCAAAATATCTATTTGAGAGATCACTAAAGCAATTGAAAAGTCTAAAAGGTATAGGATATAGTATAATTTAACTGATATATTGAAAGTAATGACGAATTATTGCAATCAAAATTTAAATTTCTTTTTTTATTTTATTATTGTAATACATATTTATGTATTTTTATTATTACTGCATTTAAATCAATTTAATGGCGTCACAAATGTTTACATTGTTTATTTTACAATGTTTACTTACTACTTGCATATATTGATCATGTAAGTACATTACATTTTAAAGTAAAAAATAAAAACAATTTTCCCGTGGAAGGTCATGAGTTTTTTCTCTTATGATAAAAATGCATTAATAATATAAGTAATAATTTTTTTTTTGATATCACTTTTTTATTATTATTAGGGTGTGAAGATAAATAAAATATTTGCTTACCTATAATAGGTGAATGGACATTGTTTGATAATGAATTCTGTGCATAATAAGTGTTGCTAGAAGTTATATTAAGTGGGAATTGATATCCTCCCTGTGGTGAAGGTGTCCTCGAATTATACATAGGTGGCGATTGAACAATACCAATTGTATTTGATGGTGGATATAAATTATCATACATATTGGGACTGGTATCTATATTAAAAGTAAATGTTAATTTTTGTATATTATCCTATTCAATATTTCTAACTCAAACCTGGGTCTTCTTTCACAATAACATGTACAGGAATTGACAATTGATTACTATTAAGTAGACATGAACTTGGTGGTATGGTAAGTCCTAAAATAATAGAATTAATAATAAATACTCATTTAGAAAATAAATTATGAATTGAAAATCAAAAGCATGCATGTTACCGTTCAAACACAAAAAAGCAACTAAATTACATTATTCTAAAGAAAAGATAACACCACAAAAAATATTCAGATAAAATTGTCAAGAAATGTATAAACGTATACAGGATGGAATACAGTATGCTTAAAGAAGTACATAATAATTATGCCACTTACATAAAATTAATATTTCATATTAAAATATAATTATTTCATTTACTTACTTTTAAATAAATAAATAAATATAACTTTTGTTTCAAGTTTAAGTGTTTTTATACAATGAAAAATGACTATTTAGTGAATTAATAGCATATTAAAAATAAACATTGTTAAAAAAAATAATACACTTTAAGAATCAATACAATTTTTAAAATAGTGAACAAATAAAACTGATGTTTTCAAACTTTATCATGGTAATATGTATACAAGGTATACTGTATTACTACTCAATAGCATGCAAACTACTTCAAATATTATTCTAGAAAAATATGTTTTAGTATCAACATTGTACATATTATGGATACATTAATATTATTTAAATATTGTATTTTCCAATAAACTATTATATGAAATTAAATAACCAAGTATACAGATATCCCATCCAGTATATTGAATTAAACTTTTTAAAAAACTCATAAAACCAAAAAATATTCTACCCTACTTACTTAATTTTATTATTTCCACAATTTTATTTGTTCGTTTCTTCTTGTGTTTTCACATACTAAACTACAAATGTATATATAAATGCAATCATATGTATATATATATATATGTGAACATAAAGAAAAAGAGAATCACAATTAGGCTTGTACGGAGATAACATGATATTGCTTTTTCATTAAATTTAAAAATAATAATAACATGCTAGTTAAAATAAACTGACATTAACTGATTGACACCGGCACCGAATTGTAACAATTGTTTTTAATCACCTTACATCGCCCAGGGTTGTTTATATAAGCATAAATGGCGTTTATATTATTTTTACTCACTAGGGTCACTCTGTAATTGCCTCAAAATTTCACTTTCGTTCAATTTCTGTCTTTTATCTCTCCTTGGTAATCCTATAACGCACAATAAACAAATCAATAAACTTAAAAAATGAAATATATTTTTGAACATAAACTTGGCTCACAATAATTAACGTCAATATAAAAATGTATACCAATTAACAACATAAGAAAAAAAAAAACAGAAATATTATAACCAAAACATTTTGGTTAAACTATTATGATGTATACAATGATAAATGAAAACAGTTACTAATTAGTTAATTTATTAATTTAGAGCTAATTTTTAAATTTCACTATTGCTATACTTAATAAATATGTGTAACTAAGAACCAGTTAATTAAAATTATAAAATTGTTAGTACAAGCAAAATAGTTTCATATCATATTAATTTCCAGTCAATAATTTAAATTCTTTAATAACCCTGATAAGTTTTTTTTTTTTTTTTTTAATTCAACAATTTAATAAATGTTGAGCAAAAGTGAAAATATGATAAAACAAATATTTTATTATTTTTCATTATTTCACAGGCGTAACTTTTCCCCCTTCCACAGTGCAATAATACATAGAAGATTCATCAAACTCCGACATGGCAGCATGTGGTGCGACAGAAGTATACAAAGCATAATTTTCCGCTTCAGTTAAAGGTGTATCATTAATAGGATCATTTATACTACTATTTGATGAACACATTGATTTGCTTCTTTTCCGCATATTTAGTAACTTGTGCAACAATTTTATCTTTGAAGGTTTTTCTTGCACTGTAGGAAGATACTTTAATGGTCTAGGATTTTTTTTAACCCTTTTTGGAGGCAAAGGTGGTGCTGTATTAGTATCAAACTTAGGTTTAGAACTGCTAGGAGGTCGAGGAGGTATAATTGATATATCTTCATAACTCTGACATCTTTCAGGTATTGAACATGGATTTTTAAATGCCATCTGAAGACTAGAATAAGTTCCACGCAAATCTTCACCCAAAACCTCTGTAGAAGTACTACTTGTATCTTCACTATAATCTTTTTTAATACCATATATACTTTCATCATTATCTTCTAAATCTAGAGGCTCCTCTTTTATTTCTATTTCCATTTCTACATCTTTAATATCTTTGATATCTTTAATATCTTTGATGTCTTTAAAATCTTTGATATCTTTAAAATCTTTGATATCTTTAAAATCTTTGATATCTTTAAAATCTTTGATATCTTTAAAATCTTTAAAATCTTTGATATCTTTAAAATCTTTGATATCTTCATTATCTTTATTTTTATCAAAAACACTAAGCGGTACTTTTTCTTCAAATTGATCATCTGCCCAGTATTCATTAATATGGGTTTCTGGTAGCCTATCATATTTCTGAGGGGACATACCTGAATCGACTGGAGTTAACATAAATGGACGAGGTTCACTACACATGTTATCTGAAGGTCTTTTTAACTGTATCCATACATGCACCGTCGAGTTGATCTAAAACATAAAATAAAAACAATAAAATTAAAATATATTTTTATAAAGATGAAAATATAAATGTATCTTTATGTTTCTTAATTCATGTATAATAACATCAGTGGCATCTAGGAAAGCTTTATCATTTAACTTGTTCATGAGTCGGTAGACATTGATAATAATGTTATCAGTGATATCATAAGATTATTTAAGGAACATACAATATATAATATTATGTTTATTAAGATAATAAATATTTTATCTAATTTACATCTGTTGTTCTATACTTCGGCGTCCTAAAATATATGGCCACTTGCTTATGAACATCTTGAGGTTGAAAATCAGCATAACTCTCCCATATACATTTGCCATCTTTTTCCTCGTAAAACCTTACTTGTATATCATCTAAATAATAATATCAGTATACATAATTACATACTAAATATTAAATAAAACTTAATTTAAATTTTACCTTTAGTTACTTTTTCACATAACAATATGATATCTTTACCACCTGCTACTGAAGCTGATGCGTCACTTAGTCTACAAATAACTAAATCAGACATTGCTTCTAAAAAAATAAATTAAAATAAGTACACATTAAATATTTCATTATAATTATGGGATACCAACATTTTTCATCTCTATCTAATGTTCAATATAATGAAAATTTATTTTTGTATTTTCAATAACATAATTTATTGAATGGGATCAAACAGGAACAAAATTCATTAAAAAAATTATAGAGGAGAAATTTCTTTTTATCTGTAATATATATGTGCCAAAGGCAATACCTTTATTATGTATTTATTAAGGTGTATAAAAAACACAAAGTTTAGAAAGATATATTGGATAGTGAAAATAAAATATTAAAAATCTATTTCAATAATATATAAACTTCTTCTTAGCGAATTTGTTAACAAGGGTTTTTATGCCAAACTAACTAAATAAGCTATATAATAGAAAATTCTAAAACAAATTTTTGAGATGACAAATGCATGTATTACATTTTATTAAATCAAAGCAGTGTCATGCAGAACCCTTTGATTATATTACAAGATTAATTGTTTATACTATTGTCAATAAAAATTCAATAAAATATAACTAGAAATAACTATGCCTCATTTATGATGTATCTAAAAAGTATAAAAATTTAATATTTACATTTATAAAATGAATAATAATTTATTAGATTTGAATAGAGAAACACTTTTTTTTGTTCATAATTAGATTTATTTATCTTTGACATTAATGAATCTTTTAAAATCTATGATGAGAATCAAAAAGTATCAATAACTTCAATGTAATTTATTTGTTACGTCCTCACAACTCAGTGTAATAAACTTACTTATATTTTTTGATTTATAGTAAATCTCATTTTAAATAATTTTACCTGTAAATTATAAACAAACATGAAATATCACCCATCCCAATTTTCAAATGTAGCCTAGACCTTATTTGTAACTTGTCTGCACGCCACCAAATCAAATAACTTACTTTTGTCATAAATTGGGTCAGAGACAACTGGTTCAAGAATACTATATTTTCCTTTTTGAGCACCTCCTAAAAATGCTTGGAAACATAGCCTAACTGCGTTTAAATCAATTGAAGTTGGAATTTCTTTATGTGAAAACCCAGCTGAAAAAAATATTAATAATTAAACCAAAGAAATTTGGTTATATATCTTAATCAAAATATAATTTTAAAAAATAGCCTTCAAAAAATAAAAGATTAAAATATAAATATAGATCTGACTAAAAGTATAAATATCTCTTAGAAGTTGAAAACGTTTAATACTTTCTTAAAAATCCATTTATTTCAGCCCCAAGGATGCGTATCATGTGATTTAACAGTTATGTTGGCATACTCATACATCACTGTTTCAATACTCAATTGTTAATATAAAAACAAAAAAAGTTATCAAAGTACCGTTACTACTTTCTTAGAGCTTTTTGTGATTTTAGTCTATGATTTGTTTAGTTAAACTAAATCAAATGTGAACAGAATTTCAAATTATCACATTAATAATCAATTAAAATATTGTTATTTGATGGGTTAATATATAATTTATATCAAACAATGAACATGAACATATATATTATATATAAAAAATGAATCAAAATAATATATGCATATCTGTTTATAAACCATCAATGTGAAACACAAATATTCCCAATTTATCAAAATAACATACAAATATAATTTATTTAGTTACAACTAAATGTCTATAAACATTAATTTACATACTTCTGAACGGATCCACACGTATCTCTTCACGTACTTTAAGAGCTTCATCTATATCTTTTCTTTTTACACATTGGATGCCCAAATTTTGAAAACTTGCAGTCATAGAATCATTATTAATTTCAATAGTACAAATTCCTTTTTTGCAATTGTCTCGTCCTACAAGGTTATGTGGATGGGAGCGAAATGGACTATCTTTGGTAACACATGATACTACAACAACAGCCCTTCCTTTATAACCCACTATCTGTAACAATATACAGTAAGAAATATTTATCATATTAATAGAAATGTTTTACAAGTTAAATTACTTGAATTGTTGGGTAAGTTTTGTTTTCAGGAGTACTGTTAACACCAGGTATACTCCCGGCAGATCTACCTTCACATTCATATCGAAATCTTAAAGCCTTTGAAGCAGGCTGTTCAATAATTTTTATATAAGGTTGGTTGGTTGGTTTTCGGCCATTACTTAATAATGTACCGTCCATTTGTTGCATAGGGTCCGTCCTTACGTGTTCTTCAATCACCTCAACTAAAAAATTATATTTATATACTAAAATTAATATTTTCTTTTCTATATTGTACAACAATCAAATTTACAAAAAAATATAAACAAATAGTCAATATAACCTAAAAAAAATGTATTGGTACTTAATTGAAATGTTAATAACATTATACCAACATTTTAATTTGCGCATTTATTATCTTTAAAATAACAATTGTTAACATAAGTATTCATTAAAAATATTACTAATCTAATACTTGTTTTAAACAGTATAAAAACAAAATTGATTTCAACTTTTAACTGTATTTAATTTAATTATAGGTTAAATCAATTGAAGGTTCTTGAGTAAAATAAGATAAAATGTTACTTAAAAAACACACACACACTTGGTGTAATATAGATCTATATTGTTATACATTTCAATCAAAAAATGATTGAATAAAACTTATAAATATTTCAAATTAAATGTAAAATATTTCTTTTTTGCATTTCCTCTTCCCTCCAATTTGAAAACTACTTTTTAAATTTTAAAAATCATATTTATGAACGATCTGTATTTAGTTTCTTGTTCCTTACTAAAGTAAACTAAAAATTAGTGTATATTTATTGCTTTAAAAGTCTGACTAAAAAAAAAAATCATAATTTAAAAACAAATCATATTACTCAACTGAGAATCTGTAATTGAAAATGTCTATTAATAATCTAAACAATTTTTTGGCTTCTGTTACCGGTGTACTTGCACCATATGAACGTGAAGACATTCAATTGGTGTAAGCAATTTATACCATCAATGGCATTAAACAAATTTTACATTAACACTGGTTAGGATTTTAAGGGAAAATTTACACCGATTTAAACCCATAAATGTATAGAATGATACACACATTGACAATAATATTCAAGTGTAAAACATCAACTACCTGTTTGAAATTAATTAAAATTATAAGACACAAATATATTTTTTAAACACTTATGTTTAATAAACAATATATTTTATTTGTACTATTAACACATTTTTAAAATTATCTTATATATTATACAGAAGGTAAATCAATAATGGTGATAATTTTACAAATTTTTGGTAATTTTACAGACAATCTTTAGGAAATCTTGGTAATCATTGGAAAAATCATGGTATTCTGGAATCTGCTGTACACAATATTAATCAGTGTATTACCCTCTAATATTATATACTACCCACACAGTGTATCCATTACAACCAAATTCATATAAATATATGAATAAATTTTGTATGGCTTGCCTGTGACAATATAAACAATAAAATAATAACAATCATTATGATTAATAAACAAAATGTAACGCATTACTATAGAAACCTACAGTTTTCCTTTTTATAATTTTTTTATTTTTATCCATTTATAGCTGAATGAAACCAGAACTTCCAAACATAGTAAATACAGACACAAAAACTGAAATTTAAAAAAATGATACTGCACATAAATAGGCTACTGTTACAGGTGGGTAGTTAAGAAGGAATGATAATATCATTCTTGTATATTAATTAATGGAAATAAAAAATGATTCTAAAAAGAGTATTATTACTTATGTATTGTCTTTTCTCTTGTTGCATAAAAACCAAAACGAACAATTCGTTATCTTTAGATGTACTGTGAGAAAAAATTGGAACGTACCTAACCAAGTGTTTAAAAAAAAACTTAAAAAGAATTTTTAGAATAAGTATTAAGAAATTTGAAAAATATGTCAAATAAAGTACAATCAAATGAAAAATCCCAATCTTAGAACGTTACTTAGAATTTAGGCTTCATGGTATTGCCGGAACTTGCAACCTCATGTTCGAAATATACACATCACATACAAATTCAAATTTATTATAAATTATATTTAATAGCAAACATTTAAAATTCCCATTAGTGTTACACTAGACAACAAACAATATATATGTACCTACATATTAACACTTATTCAAACATAGGATAGTAATAATTAATAAGTAACACATTTATCAAGTAACAAATTAATACATTTCACTATATATTTTTTAATGTAGGTATAAAACAATTTATGCTTATATTCAAAATAAAAATATTATTCTTAACAGTCACTCAATAAATGGAAAACAAAATACCTATTTAATTTAAGAAAAATAAAAATCAAAAAATTGTCTATTTGTTTGGCTCTTACAGAATTTATTTGGTAAAGGATAGAATCACAAATAGATGTAATCTGTGATAGAATTAAGGCCCATACATTTTGTTAACAAATAAGTACCTACATATACCACATTATTACATAATATTTACCTACACCATTAATTAATTTTTAAATATTTAATACAAAACTGGCAATCATATACTTACTAACATCACTAAGATGAATATCGGGGACATTAGAATGGTTATCATAAAATGGATCCATAATCAATCAGTTCAGAATTTAACAACAATATTACAATAACAAACAAGCGCATAGGTACATCTGAAAACAACTATGGTGGTGAGTAATGAACACAATCAAACAGTTAATACGTGGATCAATAAGCAAAACACATGATCGAGCAATGTAGGTAATGAATTTAAGACTTTTTAAAACATGCACGTAATATCTAATTTTATTATTGTTGCACTCAGTTACAAAACACATGAGACAGTGACCACATAGCCGTTTTTTAGTGAAATTTCGTCAATAAATGAAAACAGTAAATAATATTTGACGTTTTATTGGTCAAAAGTGCACAATTTTTAAAATTAAACCAATTAATTACTTACCAACTTTTCGTAGAGGTAAATGTGCATTATAATTCCCCGGATTCGGTAAACGGATGTTTAGATTTCTGTACAGACAGCAAGAATATCTGACTCGCACCCAGCAAATAGCAATATCACGTAGTAACAGTAAGACAACTGTATGTAGCGAGTGTATAAAAATAAAACACTAAGTTTGAACGTATAATAATAATGAACGACGGAAAAAAATGATAAGGAGGGAGAAGATGAGAGACCAGCCAAGAGTCAGTGGAATGAGCGAACGCAGGGTGCCAAAACCTGTAGAGGAAATTGTCGAGTTCGCAGTGTTTCCAGATATCATATATGTAGGCTCCCACGTCCTTACCCCACCATAGAATACCTCACTCACAGCACAAAACCACGAATAATAATTATTATTATTTATGAATAAATAATATTGATACGTATATTTTTAATAATGTGATTTTATATCGAATATTATTGAATAATATTTCAGAAACAAAGAATGAGAGATAACGTTTTTATCGACGATAAGACCGCCGTGCCGTGAACTTACTATTATTAATAGTTTTTACTTATTACTAGTATTGTCATATTGATATATTTATTATTTTTAATTGATACCTACACAATAATCAGCTGACCATTAGATACCTACCTATAATTAGAGAGCCTATATTATATTGTATTATTATAAAGCTATTACACTACCTACAATAAATATTTTATTAAATTCCACAAAATACAATAGCCACTAGTCAGATTAAAGCCCACATGTACTCAATAATCCACTTCAATTTATCATTATTGATCTGATTTATGAATCCGTTCTTGATTACCATGATTATAGGTGTTTTGAGTTTAGGTATCGGTGAATACGTAACGAAAATATAACAATAATAATAGTTGACAGGTACCTATGTAGCGAATGCTGAAACTTAAAAAAAAGAATACCTAATCGTATTAATTTATTTATTAATCACAAACATAAACACATACAAATTAGGTAGATACACGTAAATAAACTCTAAAAAGTGTGTCTCAAATTTAATAATTGACTAACTAATTTATAAACATGTTGAACAGCATACATTTTAATCGTTTAAGCGTTATCTTATTTATTCCATGGTGTATAACATTAAATTTTATAAAATATTTTACCGTATTGAAGGTCAGGTTATTATAGACATACATTAGTGCAGTGATAATTTCCAAAAACCAGACACTCAAATAATTATATCAGTTACAAAATATATAACCAACTGACTGACAATAAATTTATACGGTCAAAAATAACAGACATTTATTTTTTCAGGTACCTAATAAGGATTGCAACTATTATAATAGATTTTTGGTACCTATCTATAGGTAATTAAAAAACAAAGCTGTACATATAGAAGTATATTGTACAAATGCACAAATATACTTCTCAGTTCTCAACATGGGTTATACGGTTATTGTTAGGTATTTGACTGTTGTAGGGAGGTAGGTAGTTCACCGGAAGATAAGACATATTATGGGATAGGTAATTTTGTACATAGATATAATCATTACAAAGGAAAAAGATTTCGAGAGGACATTTTTCGTGTTGCCCAGACGGGCGTCGTTCAAAACCTCATGTTGCTGCTCAAAACCGTACACTATCCGTAAATTATTTTCACGCACTTTTTCTTAATGTTTAGTGTTTAGTAGGAATTCATGAAATTCATTGATCGTTGAAAATTCGTTCTATTTAACTTTATTATTATATTTCACTAATATGGCGTTTTCCTTCCATATTATCATAAAATGTATGTAACTAAATATACACGTTTATTATGTTGTATATACCTACCTGTTATATGTTATTACTGAAGAAGTATTTTACTATTCATATACTATTATTGTTTATTATACTTTTAAAATTGTATTATTCTCTTTCTCTCTCTCTCTCTTGTATTGATATCGTATTAACCATTAACTGAATTTATTTACTCTTAATACAAACATTGATTACATTTTACATGGGGTAAGTATCATTATAATATATAACTAATGAGAAATGTACTATATTTGTACAGTAAATGTTATTATTAAATAAATAAATATCATTCAGTTCACAAATGTTATTCTTTAATTAAAGTTGTATAATTTTAGATTCAGAGCGTAGCTAGGGATCTATTGGTTTTACCATAATGTATGTGTGGTTTTTTATTTTTGTCTGAATATTATTCTTGCTCTGAAATAAATAAACCAACTTTTTTAGAAAGGAAATTTTCTTTATTTGGGGTATTGAGGAGGTCATTTTTTGATTTTCTCATAGATTTTCAAAATAATTGGGAAAATCCTGAAAGAAAGTTATAGGTAAAACGATAAATATTAACGGCGTTACCGTCATCATTGTTTTTAATTTTTGCAACTTGTGTTTTCAATATTGTTCCAATTGTAAAATGACAAGATATCGGTTTAGTACCTTTTAATATGATAATCACTGACAATGAAAAGTCGTTTTTTGATATCTAAAGTATTTTTCATAATAAATGAGAAGACCGAAAAAGACGATTTTTTTTCAAATTACAGCGTAACGATTTCATTAATTTAAATAGTTACGGTTTTTGTTTTCTACTATAATATCATAAATATTGTTCCAATAGAAAAACGATGAAACACATTTTTTGTTGAATTTTTAATTTAGTTAGTTAGTAAAAAAGTCGTTTTTTAAATTTTTTATGTAATTTTATTAATAATTGAGCAACACTGAAAAATACGTAGAAAGACCGGGCCATTTTACGAAAATAATTTTATTATTATTTTAAATTTGTTTTTTTACTGTAATTCAGTTTATAAAATTCGTAGAAATTTGAAATTTTGACAGATAATTTAAATTTGATTTTCCTAGACGAGGGAAAATTTTTAAAACATTTGAGCCATTTTTGAGCTATTTAAAGACATTTTAATTTTACTAGTTTTGTTTATGTAATTTTAATTTGTAGGTACTCTGTGGATAAAATTGTTAAACTTAACAGAAATACTTGGAAATTTAACAGGAGGTTCATAAGTCGTACTTTGTGGTCAAAAAGAAAAACAATTTGAGTTTAATGTAGAATTTATATTTAATAAGAGTTTTAATATCAAATTTTGACGAAGATCATAAATATTACGGCCTTTCAAAATATGTATAACCGGGGTCCGCTCAGAATCGTTTAGCTATAATGAATTTTTGCGTACAAATATCCATTAAATACCCCTCTATATCCTACCTTCCCAACTTCTTACCTATAACAGTAGCACACCTATCCCCGGTATCACCTCTTTTTTATAATATATATTAATCATATTATGTTTGTGTTTTTCAACTTCACCGTAATATGACATTGACATCTAAAGATTAAACTACTAAGGAAGACCTTGTATCAGTTTTATCAATGAACTTCAAATATATTGATAGGTGATACTTATATCTAACATATTTTATACAATTAGAGTCGTCTTGAAAATGAAAATTGAAAATCATGGGGTGAATATTTTAAAGTCTGAAAAATGCTGATTAGGAGTCATTGGCACAATTATAGGGATCATTCTTCCATTATATATTCCCAAGTTTTATCCATAGTTCCCTAGACTTACTTTAAACTAAACTTATTTTAACGTCCTATAAAAATTAATTTTTACCCTATTATTTTTCTCCGCCATAATGTAACATTAGTTAATTATCCTATAGATACCTATTATATATATAACTCATACCCACGATGATAAAATATTTAATTACATGGCTTTTATTTTAAATCAAGGTACTCGTCCAATATGCTATCTACCGTAACTTTATGATAGTTTAGTATGATATCTAACGTAAATATATATATATATACACATATACTTTATCATTTTGCAATTAGGATTAAGCTTTTATCGAAATCCCAAATTGTATAATATTTATAACTTTTTATAATTTATCATAGACTTCTTACAAAATAAAATTATCGTGTGTTTGTAAGTCGTGTCGATTATATGTGGTTTTAATGTGATTTATTTATTTATTAATTATTATTATGAGTTTGTCAACTATGAGTTATTTTTATCGACAAAGTAATTCAAAATGAAAAGATGTGCGCAATTTTTTTAAAAATACGTGGTTTATTACCAACTGACCAAACTTGTACCAAAATTAAAAACCAAACAATTTGTGATGGCGAGTTGAAAAAAGTACTGAAAAATAGTCGAAAACGTGATTCGAAAGGTAATATTTTGAAAACAATGTATAATCGATTTATAAAAAAAGGATGCCAAACATTTCACTCCATAAATATGCAAATCAATAACTTCTTTATGTATAAGGATAAAGATGGGAAGTATAACAGTGGTTTGAATTTTTGTAATATCGTAAAACTTGTTTGGTATTGGATATTTCAAATAAAGGTAACACAAGCCGAAATGTTTACGAAAAGATCGAAATCAACTATAGTCGGATGATATAATTTATGCCGAGACGTAGCAGTAGCTGAATTTCAAAACCGTAAGAAAATGGAAGGTCCTGACCTAGTTGTGCAAATAGATGAATCCTTGTTCCAAGATAAAAGGAAATATAATCGTGGAAGATTACGTCTTGGAGATCGTAAACCTGAGGAAAAGTCTGGTGAAGATGAAGAGAGTTCAGATGAAGACAATGTAATAAATAATCTAAATTACGGACAACGAAATCAAGGGCCATGGATTTTTAGTTTGTGTTGTAAGCATGATGGCATTAAAAAGAGACGTTTTTTAAAAGTTGAAAAGCATGATCGAAATACCTTACTACCAATTATATTTAATGAAGGTACTACTACTACTATGTATTCCGATAGATGTCGTGGGCATTCTATTTTAAATTAACATGGGTTTATTCATAAAACGGTTAATCAATCGGAAAATGTCATTGATCCAATAATTGGTGCTGAGTTACAAACTATAGAAACTCTTTGAAGACACATCAAAAATAATTAATATAACATTAAAACACGCGGATCGACTAACATATTATCGGCTCAACTTCAAGAAGAGTGGTGGCACTCATTAAAAAAACCAATCAAAGACCTGTTCGAATCATTCCTCGGAGCGAACAGAAATTCGTATACATAACTACACAGTATCACATAGAAAAAGTGACAAAGTAGAAATACTACATTATATAGTCTAAGGTAAGACAATTTAAAACCAACATAAAATCATAGTAGATAGCATACTAACAAACGTTTGATGAAATGTGCGGTAGATAGCATATAAGACAAATACCAAAATCAATTATAACTAATACCTATAATACTTACAAGTTGCAACAAAAAGTCTAAATAAGTATGATATTTTATTGAAACTGGCAAATATTGCATGCAATACTTATTATTTATCTATTTTTATTTTTATACTTACCTATAAATTGATATAGTTCTCGATAAATGCTGTTTTTATTTGCCTTATCTTATTAATTATTACAAAATAATAAATAAATGATATGACTACCCAGAGTTTACAGATTGATTATCTACTGGCTGATTGTCATAAGATCATAAGCATCAGAAGATTGACATTTTAATTTGTAATATAATGAATTATAATATTATTTGTATTTACTTTTATTTTTCAGTCATTATTATATAATCGTTTAATGATCTCATTTAAAATGCTTTCAAAATGTTATCTTTTTTCCTTACATATAACGGTAGTTATAAACTTACACCATTAACCACAAACTTTACGTTTCAATTATTTATTTTAAATAAAAAACCCCTCCTCTTTTCAAACCACATTCAAAACTAAAATATCCTTCTAAAAGTGTTGATATGTCGGTAACAATTATACCGGATAAAAAGTTAACGAGTTACTTTACAATTTGTGTTTAAAGTGTAAGAAATAAGAGTCAAATATTGTAAATATTTGAATCTTTTAGAGACACCAGTAGTATGGGAGGAGAAAAAATGGTACATTTTCTCCTCTAATTTTTTGGAAAAACAATTTAAAATTAAAAGATTCTTTTGGGAAACACTTTCGGATAACGATTAAAGAAGCACACATTTTTTCATGTACTATCGTAAACTATTTTTATCTGATGATACCTAATTGAAAAATGTAACATTTGTAAGATTTATAATGATTTTATCCCTTGATCAGTATTTCTTTACAAGGGCAGTGAAGGGATACTGTGTAGTAGCGAGTATATTATGGTGGTAAGCAAACGACGAGCGTGTTTTCGCATAAGATTCATAGAACAAAATTAAGTTATTTTCTTGTTACTCAATAAATTTTAAATTTGTTTTCAATGAAAAAAAAAATCATTTTATGTGGGTAAACTATTTGTATTTTTCATTGGTCCATTAGTTTTTTTTTTTTCGATTTCCCAATTCAGCTTCTCTCTGTTTAGTTGTAGATAAGGGTCGTCGATAAAAATTGATTGGGAGATAACTTCAAAAAAGTAGAGAAACATTGCCTTAGATTCTTTTATTTATCGAAAAACACTTTTTGCGAGTAAAAATCAAAGCATTTTTAATGCTTTAAATTAATTGTATTTTACTATTTTACATTAAAAGATATGCATTTTTCACGTGGTGTGGTATATATTTTATTTGAAACCAAATTCTATATTCTCAACATTGTTTTTGTGAACGATTTAAAAAAACTGACAACAAATGTCGATATATTGTTTAACTTTTGTTGTTTTCTGGATTACCTTGGCTACAAAAGAAAAAATAATGACTAATACTAATTCGCTCCGAATCGCTTTTGGAGTGCAATAATCGTTGCTAATTGAGCATGGTAGGTACTTACGTCCAGTTTGTTTTTATTTTATTTTCAATACATTTTGAATAAAAAACCTGTTTAATATAGTAGGTAGGCAAAGTTTCCAATCTATATAATTTTCAAAAATTATCGAGCCTCAACGGTGACATACCCCCTAGATTCCCATGGTTATCCCCCGAGGTTAACTAGATCCCTATGGCTCAATTATGAGTTCCCTTGTCCACTAAATCCCCATAATTCTCTTCGATAAAACCTTCTCATGGTTATATGTATACTTACACTGTATACACAATATACTTGTATACTACATACTACATACTTACACAATAAATATAAATAAAAAATATTTAAAAAAAGTCAACTCGTAGTCACAAGATTAAAAAACTTTTTTAATTACATTATTATTAATATCAAAATTCTAAACATTCGTTACATCACGTAAAAATACTTTTCATCTATTTTAATCAATTATTAACAAAACAACAGTTAATTATAACTGTGCAGCCACCGGCCAGTGTGTACAGCGGTCAACGTGTTTATTGCACGTATAAGGGGTAATCGTCGTTTTTAAAATAATTAAATCTTGAGTAAATAGAATTTAACTATATTTTAAAATAATAACTTAACATTTAGGGCTGACGGTCAAATATTTAGCTGAACAAATTTGCATCAATACGTTATAAGTATATTCATTGATTATAAATAATAGTATTTATAACATAAAGATGAAAATTTTTTTTGGGGCTCCATCAAGCCGGGGCCCTGGGATCGTGCTTAACGTAACCTTAGTTTTAAAACTTCACTGCTAAGGATCTAGGTGGTCGGTGTTACAAACAAATTATTAAATCATTAAAAATTGTACTCTATTTACAAGGGATTCACCCACAAATGTATTAAATAAATAAAATAAAAATACTAAGTAGACATATTAGCAGTGGCGATTCGTGCCATGGTGCACAGGAGCAGTGCATCACCTACAATTTTACAAATTATAGGTACATTGTTTTGTTATATTACTATAATATAAAAATATAGTGTTAATTATTATATTTACTTTAGAGACAAGAATAAAAAAGAACTGATACTGGGGATGGGAGCGGACACTGTTGTAGGTGAGAAGTTGGGAAGGTAGGATACATAAGTTTATTTCATTTATATCTGTAAGCAACGATAAATCATTGCTTGATGAAAGGCGATTCCGAGCGCAGTTTGGTAATACATAATTTGAAGTAATTTTTTACAATTTTCGTTTAAATTTTCAAAATGCTTATTAAAAAAAAAAAAGATTTTTGGAAATTTTACCACGTCTAGGTAAGTCCAATATAAGTATTATTACCAAGTTTCAAGTCTCTACGTGTATTTTTAATGAATTACAGCAAAAAATCTCCCAAGCATTAAAATTCCTTGAAAACTCAAAAGTTTTGGCGATGATGCTGTAAGAAAGTAAATCAAAAGGGCAACAAAAAAGGTGTCATGTGAATTTTTGATTAAATCATTTTTTCTGGTAGAAAACGTTGTCCGTGTTTTTATAAAATAATAAAATCATGAAATTGTACGTTTTCCTACGCTTTTTTCCACTTAAGTGCTTTTGATTAAAAAACGGCGTCGAAAATCAAAAAATCTCTTCTTTAAAGTACAATCTAGACAACTTATGCTTTCTGAAAAGTTGCTACACGTAAAAATTGGAGCAAGTTTTCTAGAAAAAAACGTGTCCACAGTCTAGAAAGAAAGAAAGAAAAAAAAATAAACATCTTAGTAAAACAAATAACTTCCTCGCTACGCTCGGAATCTAAAATTATTTTATAGAATTAAAGAAATATTTAATCCGAAAAGTCGAGAAAAACGAATGTTATCGCACGTTATAGGTATGTCGTCGTACATAATTCGCAGCGGTAGCGGTCACCACAGATATAGATAATAAATTAGATTACTAACTAGTGATAACAGCAGATGCCAAAAAAGCCATGTTGGGTTATAGGCACTGCTGTGTTATCATAACTACGCGATACCTAATCTATTATTTGGCGGGGAGGGGGTATTTCCGTATATGCATAACAACATATTATAATGAAAAATAAATTATACACGTAAATCATTAATCAAAATGATTGTATAAAAAAATAAGATTATTTATAATTATTAATTAATAATAAACAATATTTGATAGTAATGTGGCGCATGCGCATTTGACCGTTTCGGTCCCACTACTGGCGCAACTACCATTAGTCTTAGTGGTGTGTTGATGCACAAACGAATATTGCACAGCCGTGCCGCTATTGACAGAGAATACGTTTGGAACTGATTATTTCTTTTGGATACTATTAAATTTGTCCGGCGGGTGGCGTTATCTCCAAAAATACCCTATAGAAAATACTGATCGACCCGGCCGTTTTATATTCAATTCCCAAATAATGTTATTTAATGCAATGTAACAAAAACAAATACATTAATTCCCTAATATATTGTTGATTTATATCTAAGAACTTCCTAAGAACAAAAAAAAAAAATACAAATATATTCATATTTCAATAAAATATTTGTTTTAGTTCCTGTTTAATGAATTGACTGTACTTATTGTATACAATTTTTTAAATGCGCACCACCAATTATTTTACCCGCGAGCAGCCATTGCATATGAGTTAAATTTTCTTAAGGATTTATGTGATGCATACGTGATAGGTATACAACATTCATATTAATATTCTTAATGCCTACACATAAAATATTATAACAAAAAAGATACAGACATACTTCGCTCAGCGGATTTAGAGAGGAATGTAATATATATCTGTACACAACGATTAATCTTTGCTAATGATTCTGAGCAGAGTTTGGTTTTACATGTTTTAAAAGATTTTAATATTTACTAATTGAAAATTTTGTACAGTTTTCCAGTTTTTCCCATTTATTATAAAAACCTTAAGGAAAATAAAAAAAAACATCCTTAAAGAGCTTAAAGTATCAACTCAATAAGATTTTTTTTCAGAAAAAGTGCTACACTTGAAAATCAGAGCAAAATTTCTTGTAGTATTTTACATAGAACAAAAAAAACGAATATATCATTGTATAAAACCAATACATTCCTTGCTTCGCTCAGAATC